TACAGTTCCTGTGCAAAATCCCTTTGCTGGGCAGAAATTTGGACTATAAATCAGTTTTGTGTCAGGAGCAGGCTCAGTGACCAGTCCCACAGTTAGAGCAGTGTTCAAGACATTTCAGTTCTTGAACAATTAAGTTCAATGTCTGGGCAGAACTTTCCTTGGAGAGATGTGTAATGAAAATTTCTCTGGGAGATCTGCTTGGTTGTGGTCTGATCAGCTAATGACAAGATGACAGGGGTGGATAATTTCAAATGATCTTTAGAAGTCACAGTCATAAAATTTAAGAAATCTAGGATTTGTTCCCAGCTCTGACACTTATTTCCTGCTGTGGCTACAGTCGAGTCACTAAGGTTGTCAGGGATGTCCTTTTCCAACCACAGCTCTGACAACTGAAGGGTTTTTGTCCCCAGCCTGCCTTGGGTGTGCTCTGTGATCTGCTGACTGCACAGCTTCTGAGCTTGCTCTGTGGCAAATGTCAACAAAACGGAATTAAATGTGTAAAGACTGCAATTTTAAGCTGTTTTAGCTGCACAACTGCACCTGTAAACTTTTATGGCCAGAGATTCTGATTTGGAAAATAGATTATTTTTTAATCAGTTGAGTCTGCTTCAGCAGATGTATTCTTCTCTCCTAGAAATGCTTGTGCAGTGAGGCTGGAATTCTATAGAGGTCTTTACTCTTCATAATAAAAATGTCATCAAACCCATCAACTTTCAGGTGCTCAGGTAGTTGCCTAAAAAGGGCATATAAAAATTCAGTGATACCATAGTCCTCTGAAATCTTTCATTTATCTTTTAATAACTTTCAGCAAGTGGCATGGAGATTAGCATTTTTCACTGTCAGAAAGAAGACTGCCATTTGTTTTCTTTGCTTTTTCTGTTTTGTGGTTTTGTTTTTTTTTCCCTTGCTTTACATCTGTTTGAATTTTTCCAGGCTGTAGAGTATGACTTTCCAAAGTGAGAATGTCTGGCATTTTGTGAGTGCCAGACATTTTCTGAGATAGAAGAGAGCTGTGTACCTCGTCTTACTAATTAGGCACATTTTTTTCTTGCTTGCAAAACCCTTTTATTTGTGGCATCTTCTGGATTGATTTAGAAATAATGTGTCACTAATGTCAGGTATCCAAAATGCTTCTGCTGCAAACACTGTTCTCTTTTTAAATTTTTTGTCATCATTTTAACAGGTACTTTTTTTTTTTTTATCTTACTTTCATGCTTATATTTCTTAAAGCTGTGAAGAGTTCATTTCTTTTTGCTTTTGGCATCCTGTGTATTTTTTCCTGTTCTTTCCCCTATCTACTTTTTGTCTCCCTACTCCACTCTTATCTTAAAACAAGTTTTCACCCTGGAGCTTGTGACTAGACCAGCCTTCCACTGCTTGTCTCCTAAAGTTTGTTCTCCTTCAAATCTCTTTGAAAAATTCCCCTTCCTTTCTTTCTCCTTTCTCTTTTCTGGACCTCTTTCTTTCTGATGCAGGAGGTTTCTCTGGTAATGATGCCAAACACAAAAATTTGTATGTTTGAGAGGATTCTTTTTATTATTACATTACTTTAAAATGACACCGTCCTAGATGTGAACAGACCTTATAATGCCCTGTGTTAGAGATATTCATGGATTAAAGAAAGTTCTTGATGGGTTATACCAACCATTTTTTATGTCACTGTTTATCATCCATACTTAACTGCTACAGAAGTATCTTCTGGAGTTCTGTGAAGTGTCAGTTTTTATTTGACGTGGTTCAGAGTCTGATCCTGGTTTCACGTGTGAAGCAACACAACTGCAAATGCCATTTCCTCACCTGCAGGAGTGGAATTGGTAATGCCCTTTCCAGGTGTTCCACCAGTTGTCCTTTCACGTGGCATCAAAGAGCAAGGAGATTGTGGGCACAGTGCAAAGTCAATTCTAAGATTAGGAATGTGTGTGACGCTGGCACTGCAATTCACCACCTCACAGACAGTCACTGATTCCTGATCGAACAATTAACAGTTCCAAATTTAATTTCCCTGTTTTATTTCATGTCTTAGAGCTTTCCTCTTTTTATTTTAGTAGTTTTCCTGGCCTGTTGTCTGAATTATTACTGTTTTATTGCATTGTTTGTTGTCTTTTGGCATCACCTGCTTGTCCAGGTCAGAAAATTATTGCTAGGAAGAGTTCTGGTGAGTCATGTAGCCCCAGGAAAGGCTCTATTAAAGATAGACTTGAATGACCTAGATACAAACCCTTGTGTTACAGAGACATTACAACCTTCCCATATGACTTACTTTGGGTTTTAGTTCTTTCTTTCCATAAGAAAGGAATTTTGGTTTGGTTTCCAATACCAGACTAAGTTTTCCTACCTGCAGCTTAAGCCTACTTGTCTCTGTTCTTCTTTGTCCTTCAAATTACCCGTTTTCTCAATGGAACAGTCTTTTATATCTCAGAAGATTTGCTAGGATATCCCAGGCTTCCTCTCCTCTAGGCTAAATGACTCTAATTTGTTTGCTCTTTGCCTTTTAGATTGTTCAGCCTTGCGTTATATGCCATGTTTTTAGGATCCCTTGTGGCTCATGTTCCAGTCCTCTCGGTGGTGGTCAGTTGGTTCTCAGTGCTTCAGCTGTGGTTCCCACTTCTTCTCCAGCCTCCTCAGCACTGAAGGCCTTTTCCTCAGTGGGATGACGTGGATGACTCAGAGCTGTTGGATGAATTTGGTGGTCATGACAGGAAATCACATCTGAGATTAGACAAATCGTTAGTTCTTAGAGATAAAACCTGTTTGGAAAAATATTATTGTCTAGTCAGATGCATATGCTTTTGGTTTTTAGCTGGTGAGGATCTTTCCCAAATCCAGTTGTCACAGCATACCAGTATAACTTGTTTGTTTTGACCTTTTATTTTTCTCAATAATCGGTTTTATGGCAACAGCTGTGAGGTTTTGTAATTTAATTATATTTTCATCTCCATTTCTGTTTCTTCATTTTTAAGTTTCACAGGGTTTCAAGTTTGTGAGACAGGATTTTTCAATTTTATTTTTCAGAATGAGTACACAACCTCAGAATGGAGGGAGGGTTTTTTCCCAGTTTTTGAAAATTCTATGGACAAAACAGACTTAAATTTTATACAATAATTTTCTGTTCAAAAGCCGCTATTCTAAAACTGCTGCTCGATGCCTGTATATCACTTTTCAGCACAAAGTTACCAGTTTTACAAAACAGCAGCTAATAACACCCTTTCTAGATCACCTCTTTTTTATTTTGTGTTTTAGGGTTTTGACCCACCGCATCAAAGCGATACAAGAACTATTTATATAGCGAATCGTTTTCCCCAGCATGGCCATTACGTTCCTCAGAAGTTTGCAGACAACAGAATCATATCATCCAAGGTAAGGAATCAATTTCTCATGGGAAAACCACTCGATACCTTATTTAAGAAGTTGTGTGGTGAGTGTGCACGTGTGTGTCATGTCTAGTGGTGCATATACAGTATTCAAAATGAAACAAACTCTAAACTTTTTTGAGGGAAAAGCAAGGTTGCTTCCTATGTAGTTTTTCTCCTCTCATCCTTCTTTGCTCAAAGCCTGTTAAAGTACAGAGTAATTAAGCCTGTTGGTCAGGATTTCTAAAGGAAAATAGGTTTTAAACCAGTGTTGGTCATGTCTGGATGTGGTGCACCAAACTACTTAAAAGGAAGGGTGAAACTGGTTGTGAGGGTTTTTAAAGTAGCCAAACTGCAAGCTAATACTCTGCATAAAATAAATCAGCAGTGGACTGCAGTGGCACATTCCCTCCTAGTGTGTCCTTGGATTGAAATCAATGGAGCTGGTGGTGGGATGTGCCTTGTCGCTGTGGTGTTGGAGGGAATGTTACAGCTGCAAGACTTAATTTCTTCCCTGCTACCCAGGGTGCAAACAGCCAAATGACTCCAGCTGCCCCTCTCCCAGTGGGGAGGAGAACATTTAAAACTTGGCCTCTACTGGCAATGCAGTTGCTACCCCTGCTTCCCTGCTTAGCTGTACTTGAAACAGAAGGAGATAAAAACAACAAAAATTGGATACAGCAGCTCTGTGTGGGAGAAGACCAAGACCAGGAGCAGGTTTGGGGGAGGAGAGATGGAGAATGAAAAGATTTAGGTGAACAGAGTTTAATGGGATTGGAACTGAATTTCATTGAAAAATTGTTCAGTGTGTCATAATTGCTCTTCTCTCTTTTTCCTTTCAGTATACAGTGTGGAATTTTGTTCCGAAAAACTTATTTGAGCAGTTCAGAAGAGTAGCCAACTTTTATTTTCTCATTATATTTTTGGTTCAGGTAAGTTGAATAATACTCAGGAAATTGCAGTTTATGTTGTAAATCTGCCACTGATTTTTGTTCTGTGAATTTAACTTTTCTACTTACATATTCTACCTATTAAAAGAACACATTTTCAGGTCCTCTGGGAAAAGAACATAACTTTAAAAATAATTATGTCCAAATTTAAGTGTTATTCTTAGGTTTTGCCTTTATGAATGCCAATATATTTAAGTGTGCATCTTCAAAACCCGTTGCACTGACAGCACAGAGACTCAATTGCCTCAAAATATGATTTTAAATCTCGTAAGGTAGTAACGAGATTCCAAGTAGGCTTCTTATTTTTGTGGGCATTGGTGGTGTTTGAATAAACCAGGAGTTTTACTCTGTGTTTTTAGGTGCCTCTTGGACATTAGTGTGCAGAAATGCAGACATTCAAGTTCACTTGCACCAAACTGGGCAGTTGTGCTTGCTCTGGAGCTGAGCAGAGATCAGTGTATATTCCCAGTGTAGATGGGATCTCACCTCTGTAAATCAACAGACTATTGTGACACAGTTCTAAGATCCTCACATTCATTTTTTTCTGGTAAAATGAACTCAAAGGTGTTACAGTTTGGGTTGATGGTTTGTCAGTTTTGAAGACACCAGTTAATGCTGTTATTGTTACAGTGCAGGTCAGAAATACTGCTGTGGCTTTTGTAGCTTTTTTTGTTCTTTTTTACTGAAGAACATCCACGAGTATATTATGGCAGTGGGTACATTTTCAGTAATCTTTGCACCCCAGCTCTGTGATCGTACCCAGATTCTGAGGAGATATTGTAGGCTTAGTAGGTGAAGGGAGAAAGGGTCTAAGGAGAAACAGTAACTTTTGAAAGAGAAATTAATATCTGAGTCAGAGACAAGATTTTGGGGTACACAGACTTTTCTATCATGAAATAGAATGCTTTGAATGTGGACAGTCCTCCACAGTGATTAATCAACATTTATAGTATGCATCTGGAAAATATGGCACCTCATTTGACAAAAAACAGGGATAGTGAGGAGTTCACAAAATTTGTCTGTGATTGTGCAAGATGTCAGTACTGGGCCACTTCTGTAGTTTTGAATTCATTGCCTCCTGTGTCCCTTGATCTTGTTCTTTCACATTTAGAAAGAATGACCTTTCTAGGCTGAAAATTCCTGTGTTGGGAGTCACTGAAGTCATACTGTTCCAACTTTGTCTAACAGAATGTGTTGTCCATTGTGTTTTCCTAGTTAAGAATATTGACTGTGTCATTCCTGTTGTGATGTTTCGTGCTCTTTAACCTATTGTAGCTTGAGGAATATGGGGACATGCTGGAGATAGAGCATAAATATTACTTCGAGTAACCACAGCCAGCATTGCTTTTATTTCTTTTTAATGCAGATTTACCCCTTTAGTTCAATTTTGTGTCACATTTCTTTCAAAGTGTTAGATATCAGTAATATATAAATGTGATGTCCATGAACAAATATGGATCTAAAGGCATAACTTCTATTCTGAGTGTAATCCTGTTGTCTTAGTTTGTGACAAGTGGATGCCCTCATGTATGGAAATGTCTTATCTATGTGTCTGCATTCTTGGAAATAGAACAGGAGAAAAGCTGCGGTTGGTTTTGTTCATTTGTTAGAATGTTTTTATTCAAATCCCATTTGGAAGTTCATTAAGGTCTAATTTTTTTTTTTTTTCATATAAGGCGAAAGGTGCCTTTTAAAGTTGATCACCATGGTATATTCCCTGTCATACGAATCTCCTGTGACCAAGATGCAGGATCTGTCATTACCACCTTATTCCACCGGGGATGGCAGAGCTGGGGCAAGGTCTCGGTGTGGGATTTAAACTTGCAGCACAGTCCAGTCCACGTTGTTCACCACACATGTGCATGCCCAAAACATGGTGACAGACTGCATTTTGGTCACACCAGGTGCATGATGGATGTGTGTCCACCTGTGTGGCAGGCAAAGGACCATGGTGTTCTGGTGCAAGAGGCAAAGGGAGCAGGCTGCCATGACAATTCCACCAGCACAAAACCTGCTCCGTTTTCATATCTGAGCCTCTCTTGAGAAAGAGTGAGAGAGTACAGATGGCAGAAATGTCATCTGTACCACCTAAATCAGGTGCTTTTGGCATGGGTTTTCTTGAACAACGTGCTGCCAAGCTGAAATTGCAGTGCTACAATTGAAGAACAATATTGCAGGCCATGTCTCATTTTTGTTGTGTTCTGTAAATTGTTTCAGTGGCAAAAGGAATAAACTCGTGCATGCATTGTAAGGTGGCGTAATCTGTTTTCTCTGTGAGGTTCTTGGCTCTTCAAGAGAGTAAACTCCATGTATGATTTTGTTTTTTCTTCTTTAATGATTCCCAAAGCAATGCCATAGGTCTCAGGTAAAGTGGATCCAATCAGTGTCTGTGGTTTTGAGTAGCTCCTGTGTACATTTTCTTTACAGCACTCGACCGTGTTGTTTTTTTTCTGCAGCAGAGGAGAACCACTAACAATCCCCCACATACAGAATCTTAGTGTGTACACTGCACTTTTGGCATGCCAGCAATACTAGCACAGATTGTAGAAACTGCATGTTAACTTGGGGGAACCGGGAAGGTGTGCAGTCTGAAAAAGAAAACGTTCTCTAATGTCTAAACCGTTGGAAATTACTGTTTTTTAACTTTATTTTCACTTCTAAAGTGGATGATGTTATACCCCACATTGCTGGTAAGCAGTAGATTGTATAGAATGTTGAAACAGCATCATGAAATGTAGATTTCTTTCCTTTGTAATATACTTTTGAGTTCATCTTTGTAGAATGAAAGTAAATCTTCCTTTTACTAAGGACTCTTAAAGTTGTCTTATGCATTACAAATGTGACTGAGGCTGCTCTATACCCTAGAACCTTCTATTTGCATCGTTATTGACATATATTATTTAGGTGTCAGAAACTGAGTTTTGCTCCAGAAATACTGCAGGAAATGCAGTAAAAATATTCACGGTTTATAGTGAGATGTTTGGAAAATAGTTGTTGTCTTACTTCATTAGGGTGGGGTGTGTTTTTGGTTTTGTTTGGGTTTTTTTTTGTTGGTTTTTTTTTTGTTTTGTTTTGTTTTGGTTTTTTTTTTTGTTTTTTTTTTGTTTTGTTTTGGTTTTTTTGAAAGTACAATTGTAAAAATAAAATTTGAGGTAATTTTCATATTTTCTTCTCTTTTAGCTCATGATAGATACCCCTACCAGTCCTATTACCAGTGGATTGCCATTATTCTTTGTCATAACCGTGACAGCCATAAAACAGGTAAAGGGGAAAAATCTTGTGGCATGAAGCCTTTTGAAGGTGAAGTTGCTTAACAAAGTCTGACCAAGAAAATGCTCAGATGCTAAAAATACATAAAACAGTGTATTTTTTAGAAAGGACTTTGTATTTAATGTTTCTTGTTAGATGCTTGAGCTCTTCAGCGTTTGGTTAGTTGTCGAGCGCTCAGTGACTCACTGCAGTCCCCTTAAATGGACAGTGAATGATGTCAGGCAGCATTTTTGTCTAAACATTACATGTCACTTGTTATAAGACCTTTTCTGAAAGCTCCTCACTTATTCCTTTGGCACACCTCACTGCATGTCAAAACCAGTCCTCCCGCATCACACACCGAGAAAGGAGCTCGGGTAGATGGAGCAGTGGCGCAGTCCGTGTTTGTCAGTAGTTGAAAGGCAAGTTTGGCCCGAAGGAGTGTGTTCCATGGTGTGAAGTATGTATGAAATGGAATGCTGTACAAGGTAAAAGCTCCAGTTTAGAAAGCTTCTGGTTTTCTTTGCTGCCTCTTTGGTTGCATAAAACATTTTGGAGTGCTTTATGGCACCTGAAATAAAAATCTTCCGAGTTTAACAGAAATCTTGTTCAAGCACCATATTGAGACCTAGAGCCCCTGGAATGAGAATGTAGCAATAAAAGAAAAAGAAAGAAAAAAAAATCTTATGTTTTCTTTAAACACTTAAAGCAAGAGAAGAAAGAAACAAGCTCATAAATAAAGAGGTGGTGTGGATAGAAATTATAATCTCTTCTGCAGGGAGGTTATTTTCAGGAACTATCCCCTTCAAAGGGTTTGACAGTGCTGTCTGGGGAAGAGATGCAGTCTAGCAAGGGAAAAATAAGCAGGAGACTGTTACAGAGCTACAACTGGAATTTCAGTTTGCCTTCTGTGCCAGTAACACCCAAAGGCACCCAGAAATAGGGCAAAAGTAAAAATAGTTCTAGCTTTCAACAGGGTAGAATGGGGCAGAGGGGTTCTTAATGCTGGAGTAGTATCTGGACTAACATTTCATCTTGTTACTGTGCAGTTTGTGTATGTAGAGTGCCCTAATCCTGTTCAATTGCAGTTTTTACCATCACCCCCCCCCCCAAAAAAAAATCACATGTTCAAGAGCTAGAATCATAAGTAGGCAATGGATAATATTCCTTAAAGCTGTGTGAACTAAAAGAGATTATGAAACAGAGTCATAAATATTAGATCACTTTTTCTCCAGAAAGAAGTTGGATTTGTGTAAGTCTAAAAGAGGCCAAAATAATCTAATACCACCTTGTTTCCAGATGTCCAATTTTATATTGGGAAATGTAAGTGTCTTATCATCAGTTGCAAAGAATAGAGATTCTGACATTCCTTTCTGGAGAAACTTCAAATCATTCATGACTTGCAAAGCATCAAGAGGTTTCCTGGCTGTCTCAGTATCTCTGCAAGGACTATTGGAGCCACCTAAACTGATCTGGACTCTCATGCTTATCCTACATGCTGCAAAGAAGGCAGAAAATACTCACAAGCTGTTACTTTGGAAGGACAATTAAGTGTGCTATTTCCAACAGGCTGCTTTCAGACAGGGAGGAAAGATAAACCTTCTGCTGGAATGCAGAGGGGAAAATACCCAGTACTGCCTCAGAATCAGCTCCCATTTTCTGTCGTAGGAAGCAGATTTTTAAGGAAAGAAATGCCTTTTTGAAAGCTGTGGGGCACCAGTTCTGTACAAAGTTACATCAGGATAAATGCTAAACTATAATTTAATATCCTCTCAAAAGATGAAGGTGAAAAATAGAAGCATTAATCATGGTGGTTTGAGAAGCTTAGCAGTGGGTGGAAGAACTCTCCCCTGCTTCCAGAAGACCAGTTGATGGGGCACCTCTAGCAAACCTCAGAACTCAGCCTTATTTTAAACTCAGCCAAGGAGACAGAACTTTTTCTTAGAAGTGTAATTGCACCTAGGTCAGAAGAAGGACATACTAGACTGCAAAGTGGTGCAACTCATGCTGTGTCATTTTATCTGTCCTGTTAGCCAGAGCACTTTCCTCCTTGTGCCTGTGAAGGTCTATTCACAATCCTCAGAGGAGTCCAAAATTGGCAAACAAATAAAAATAAAAAGTTTTTTAAAAACCACCAAGCCAAAACACAACAAAATAAAGGTATTTCCCAAGGAACTTTAGGAAGCTTAGTCCATTTCAATAAGTTATAGGTATTTAGCTGATTGAACAGAGATGTTTACTTGACTGTCAGGTAAATTATGAACAACTACTTTGAAGGTTTTGATTAATTATAGACCTAAACTGAGAATGAAAAATCTGGTCATATAAAATGCAGGCTGTTTCTCAATTACATTGATGCAGTTATTTAAACAGGACTTAAGAGTATAATTTAATTGAGGGATTTTAATCTTAGTTTCTCTTCACACAATTTTCAAGCAACATTCCTTGTATCCCTATTGCATCTCTCTTTGTCACAGTATTTTTCCAGTAGTTGCAAGTGAGGGTAAGGAACTCTCAAAAATGCCGCAGTAGGTAAATTTGGGGGGGAATTTGAACTGACCACAGTAAGTTGGCTCTTAAGAATTCCCTGGTGTGAGGTGTCACCCTTTGGTTGTAGGCAGTGGATGTCAGATGGGGAAAGCGCTGAAATCTGTACTTTCTAAAGACAGTAAATTTCAGTTCTTTGCCAAATGCCCACATTGCTCAGCTGTTCAGGTCTATGAGACAAATGCTCCAAGGTTATTGGATGTTAGTTAAACCCTTGTTTTCTTCTGTCAGTCACCTTTAACAAGGAGCTGTAGGTACTGAGTCCTGCTTTTTCGTACTGATTAGGAAGGATTCTTAAAACAGTCTTAGGAGCTTTAGGATTCTGATTTCCCAGAATCTCTGTGTGTGGCTGCTATTACTACACACTTCTCAATTATTTATTTTTAAGCATGTGGCATTTAAAGCTTCTTTTCTTTTCCCCATTCCCTCTCCCCTTTCTTTTCAAAGCCAAGTAGTACAGTTGTGCTGTCCTTATTTATTTGTGCCAGTAACAGTGGAGGTACATGAAGGTAGAGCTGCAAAACTGTACTTGTAACGTACAAAATTCATCATATAACTTCCCTACAGACTCCAGTCAACTGCAGAACTCTCCAAACTGCATCTGCATTGGTACTCTTCGTATTATTACGCTCATATAATGTTTGTAGGATGAGTTGGGATTATGCCTGCTGTTTCACACAGCTCCTTCCTTCTGTCTGCAGACTTAAAGAAAGTGTTTTTAATTCTTTCACAGGTTTTATACCTACAGAAAAGCATTTTAGGAAGTCTCTCTGTTACTGCAAATGAGTTACAGGAGTTTTGCCAGGATGCAAGAGGCAGTTGATCCACAGATTGATCCCTTTCTTGCGTTTGCTTGTGGGGCTTTTTAAACAGTACCTAGACTTGGGGATTAGAGGTTATTATGCTATTATGATCTAATGCTATTAGATTAAATAAGCAGTGTATAATACTTTAGGAAAATAGAATGGGTATAATATACCTGGATTCACGATCAGGAATGTTTGCACATTTGTGTGTGCATGGGATAAAGAAGGCTTAAAGAGGTGCAGAATATCAATTAAAGAAAAACTGCCTAATTTATTAGTTAAAAGCTCAGTTGCTGCAAACTGTTCCATTAGGACTCACAAAGAACTAAAACCTTCTCAGTCATCTTCTCTTGCTGTACAGAGCTGATCTGTCAACAGCATGTCACACAAAATTAAGAAATATTAAGATTTCATGCACAGGCTATGGCAGTAACTATAAGAAGTGCTGTCTGGTATGACTTGAGGAAGTAATTTCAGTCTGTTCCTTTTTTTAAAAAAAAAAAAGGAATGCATAAAGGAGCCTGGGGACTGACTCTTCCCGGATTTGTGATATAATAATCCATACAGATCAACAGTTTAATGATTGCTCAGTCATCTGATCTGCAGAAAATGTCACTGCCTGTTTGTTTTCAGAGAACATGGAACTGTTAAGATTCTTTTCCACTTTTGCTGCTTTATGTGTGTTTACTTGTTCCTGTGAGTGAAAATCGAGAGGTTTCCCAGGTTCTTGAGTAACAGCTCTAGCAGACACTCAAGAGAAGTTAGTGACTGTATTCAGACTATGCAGGAAGTAATTTGAAGCACCTTTGCCTAGGAGATAGTTGGTGAGGTTTTTAGGTTTACTGCTTAAAAAGTGAACTTCTGTGTGTTTTTTTCCCACAGGGTTATGAAGATTGGCTACGACATAAAGCAGACAATGAAGTCAACGGTGCTCCAGTTTATGTTGTTCGAAGTGGTGGCCTTGTGAAAACCAGATCTAAAAACATTCGGGTATGTGGCAAAGGACAAACTGAAAATTGTGTTTCTGTCACACAGACACAGCTCTTGTTTCATTACTGATCACTGTGGCCTGTTTGATCATGGTTAGTTAACAATGCTGAAATGAATTCTGCTCTTTTTAAACTCCCTTTGTGTTCACTTCATTAGGTGGGGGACATTGTCAGAGTAGCCAAAGATGAGACTTTTCCTGTTGACCTGGTGCTTCTGTCGTCTGACCGAGTGGACGGTTCATGCCATGTCACCACTGCGAGTTTGGACGGAGAGACCAACCTTAAGGTCTGGGTTACTCCTGTGAAACAGTTAATTTGGGATGCCATTTTTAGTCCAGTCTGTCGAAATAACCCCTCCTGCTGCCTGGTGTTAACTGAAGGGGCGCTGTTTTACAGACACACGTTGCAGTCCCAGAAACAGCAGTGTTGCAGTCTGTTGCCAACCTGGACAAACTGGTAGCTGTTATAGAATGTCAGCAGCCAGAAGCAGATCTGTACAGGTATCACTTTTGTAGTAAATATTTTGAAATTAAATCAAAATACGGTGGTTAATGTTATGAATGTTATCGGTCTTGCTGTGATTAAAATAGCTTCAGACATCTGCTTGAATTTTAGGTTTTAATAATTAGCTTGTGTTTATACGTATGCACTTACTGATAGCTGCAAGTGGCAAGTTTTAGTATCTCAGTATTAAACCAAAAATTATAATTTAGATTTATCTTTTGTATTTTAATTATGTTCATTTCTGTTCTAAGCAGTAAACTTGTTTCCTTATTTAAAAAAATTAAATGGCCTATGAATATGACCAGTTTGGAGAATGAGTTGTATAAGGTTCTGCCAGGAGATTTCAGTACTATATAGGATATTTTAAGGTGAAATTAACTCAAATCAGAGCAAATTGTTGTAAGGTTATGTTAATTCCAAAGATATGTGCTGACCACGTGCTCAAGATTTGAACTCCATTCTTCAGCAGTAAAACCTTAGATTAAAAACAGGGATGTCTGAGTGTGCTTTAACATCAGCAAGCAATGTGCTAGACATCGTTGAGAGCAAAAGTGATATTCCAATCCAAGTTTCTTCTGAATTGTGTAGTGGAAAATGACAGCTACTAAGTAGTAGTTTTTAAAATCCAGGTATCACAGCTGTTCTTCAGTAACTTTGGGGTCTTTGAGAAATATTAAATTAATTAAAACTAAGATACTCAGTTTGAGCAGCAGTTCAGATATTTGATATTTAGCAAATTAAGGTACAGTTGCTATGAAAGTTATGTCCCTGTTTGTAGCTGGGGTCATGCTAAATATGCAAATGTCAGATTTTAAATGCAGAGTAGATTTGCTTTAGGGAAAGAAAAATTACTATTTCTTGTTGGTAATATGCTAGCTTACATTTGTTGAGGAATTATTTCTTACTGAATCATCAAAAAGTCACAATCTGTTTTAATTGAGTAGAAATATAATCTTTTGTGGTTATTAATGAAACCTAATAGGCTTTCTCAGATGACTGTTCTTTTGAAGGATAAATGTTTCTGTTGTTAAATGTCTCTTGTAAAATTAGTGCCAGCGTTGCCATATTGTTTTATTTTGTACTTGTGAACCGTTAAAGACTTCTTTGTAAATACAGACTTCTTACATTTTTGAGTCTTTATGTAGATAGTTCTAAAACGTTCCCATCTTTCTTAGATTTGTTGGAAGAATAACTGTAAGTCAGCAAGCTGAAGAAATAGTCCGGTGAGTCAAATTTTCTGAGATGGTTATTTTGAATGCATGAAGGTGGTTAAAATCACGACCATCACAAATAAGAGTTACTGTTGAATATGTAAAAGGGAGAGGTATTTTTACTGAAAGCTGTCAGTTGTAGCTGAATACTTCAGATGGAGAAGAGAGAAAATCAGTGAAAGAGGGTTCATTACTACCCAGTTTTTCAGGTTTAATACAACGCTTCGGGAAGGCTTGGCCGCTCTGAAGCGGGTCATTTTTAGACTCTGGTAATCAGCTGGTAACTTTGTTGCTAGTTGTTAATTAAAGCAATTTATTGATCTGAAACAATTTCCAGTGATGTATTAAGTAAACTACAGCAGATGCCATCATCTGTTTACTAGAGGGACTGAGGAGGTGTTTTTGCAGTTGAAGTTCTTAGAAATTACAGGTCTGTTTGAACAAAGCCTCTGCTGCAGATTTGTAGCTTTCAATATGTATTTTGAGCTGCTGCACTAACTGGACTGTTAAGGTAAGTGCTTACATCTGTAATAGTCAACACATAATTGTGTGCACATAATGGTGTGCTCACCACCTCTCCTTGAGCAGTCACAGCAAGCAGCATACACCTAAACATGTGAAAATAAAAGAATAAAGATGTGAAACCACTTACAGACCTACATGTGGACTTCCTGAAAAGACTGTTAATTGCTGGGGGTTGCTGATTGCTGGCCCCAGCTACCAGCATCCTCACAACTGCTCACTCGATTCCCCCCACCCCAACAGGGCAGGAGGGAAAATAGGAAGAACAGGAGTGAGAAAGGTCGTGGTTTGAAATAAAGACATGGAACTCGCTCACAAGAAATGGCCACATTTTCAGGAATAGATAGCATTTAAGTTATTTAATTATTTTATGATGAGGGTTGTGGATAGTTAAGCTTCCAAAAACCCTTGTCACCTCCTCTGGAAAGGTGAAGTGCTATGTTATGATGTATAAATTTGTCATAGAAACAGGTAAATCCGTTATGGTTCTTTCACTCTTCTAAAGTCCAAAATACTATCTACTACATCTTTTTTTTTTTTTTTTTTTTTTTTTTTTTTTTTTTTTTTTTTTTTTTTTTTTTTTTTTTTTTTTTTTTTTTTTTTTTTTTTTTTTTTTTTTTTTTTTTTTTTTTTTTTTTTGGTGTGAAATTTCTACTTGAGCCGTTTTCCATGTAATGTGTGCTTCAGTCTGAAAAACTGAAAGTCTCAGTCTGAGAGACTCCTTTGAGGCTTGCAAACATTCATCAGATAGGAGTGACCTGGAGTTCAGAGTGAATCAAGGATTTGTCAGTGTTTTTTGCAAGAAATATGGGGATGTAGAAAGCAGGTCACTTGGCCCCACGTCCACTGCCTTGGCCACCCCCACAAAAAAACCCACTCATACTATCTCCAAAAACCCAATCAGCTGTTTTCTAAGGTTGCTTTATGTCCTGCTTCACTTTGTGCTCTTCAGGATCCATTACTCTCAAGACTGAGAGGTTCAGCTTCAGCATAATCTACAAAATAATTTAATTGGCAATATAAAACAGAGACAGTTTCAAGGGAATGTGGAAAAAAAATTGCACGTTATGACTTCTAGCGGAGCTTATCTTCTGTCTCTCAAAGATAAACTTGTCTAGACTGTGTTGCAGTGATTCAGGTTTTGTATTTTGGGTTTGTCAGACTGGTTTTACAAACTTGGATCCAGAAATATAAATTATGTTTCTCATATGAAAAGTTTAAACGCTCGACCATTTGGTCCCTTTTAGTTCAGTTTTTCAGCTGAAGTTCGAGTCTAGCCTAAAACATTAACATATGTATGTGTAATTTAAAGAACCCCCCATAATCTGTGTGTATAATTGGTGCACATGGTATTTGTGATGGTAACTGTCACATTTGCAGTAGCATTTAAGTTAAATTAATTAAGTTAAATGTTTAACTGTAGGAGGTGGATTGTGGGTTTGGCTTTTGGGTTGTTTTTTTTTTTTTGAGTAACTCCAGGTTATGCTTTCAAAGGAACTTCAAGTATAAGAGCTTTGTTTATGTAATGGTGATCGTGGACTGCTTGTGGCAAAGCTAAAGGGAAAGTAAGGCAAACCCAAGGGCTTGTGTGCCCACACTTAGCATATGAACTTTAATTCTTTTGCTTATACCTGGTATGTCAGCCTGTCCACTACAGTTGTAAAATTTGTGCTTTCATTTGAAACACTGGCAAAAATGCATTTTTTTTAAATTTAAAACCAACCCTGCAGGCAGTTTCTAAAGATGATACAACCATTGGAGTAGAACATATGGCTCTAACCTTAAATTAACCTTGTTTCTAATTAGACCTTTATTGTCCCAGCATTGTTTGGAGTTAACTTAGCTAATGAAATGAATGTACTATTGTGTTGTAATAGATGGGAGGAAAAAACATTTACGGGATTTTGACTCTTGTGTTAGGAAGCAAAATTTGCACTGGTGTGGTGGTGTGACCACGTAGTTGTTTGTCTCTGTTTGGTATGAAAAATTTTTGACTTTCTAGATCATTTCAGTTTGTCAGAGGGGTAGAAGTAAGATGGGTAGTTAGCCAAACCTAAAATAGCATTCCTGGTGCACTGTGAGCTCACCTGGCTTTTTGCCTGCTTGCTTCCTAAGTAACTTGCAGGGCTCTCTGAACCATTCATTTGGAATATGTAGCTCAATCAGTAATTATGGGATGTGTAACAGGGTGGAAGAGGATGGCAGTGTCCAAAAGAGACCTGAAATGAAACAGAGAGCTCTGTGGAGATGTGTGAGTGTGGCGTGTGAGATGATTGAAGATGGAACTAAATAAGGATGGGCTTGAAGTTGCTGCATTGGGAATTCATAGGAAATATAGGACAGCTTTGCATAGGAGACTGGATTTCATTAGTTTTACAGAATACAGAACAACTGATTTTTAAATGCTGATATTTCTGTTTCTTTTTAGACCTCTTGGGCCTGAAAGTCTCTTACTTCGTGGAGCAAGATTAAAAAACACTAAAGAAATATTTGGTTTGTAGACATCTAAATATTTAAAGAGTATTCTCTTCTTAAAGCATGTTGATGAACTGTGCTTTAATTCTACTTGCACTGAAGAAATTGTAATAATCTTGCTGACTTTTACCTGAGGGGATATGATTATAGATGAAAGTAATGATATTATGCTGAAGACTCTAAGGATATAAAGTTCCAGCTCCGCTCTGTGAAAATATTTTAAGTGGTTTGATAAAAGAATAACTTAACTTCAATGGATAAATGACTGTTCTTAGTGCTACCAATTGTTCAAGACTTTCTCCTGAGATTTACCATTCTGATTTCCATAAAATACATATTGAGCAGTACAGTCATAATAATGAACAGTGTTAAAGCAGATGTTGAAATTACTTCAGTGGTACTGTTTTACCATAGCAGAATACTGCAAATACCTACAAAATACTGTCTCACCACTGTGCTGAAGTAAACACAAAAGTAATACCACCTTTTGCTTTTATCCTACGTCTGTCAAAATGAAAAGTTTTGCAACATGCAGATGCAGAAAGTAAAGTATAACTCTTTCCCCCCCTTCCTTCCCAGGTGTTGCAGTGTATACAGGTATGGAGACAAAGATGGCATTAAATTACAAGAGTAAATCTCAGAAACGGTCAGCAGTAGAAAAGTATGTTTATTTTCTAATATCTCTCTTATTCTTAGAGCTTTAACTTAGTTTTTTCTCTGTAACTTTAAACCCCCGATGGGTTCACTGGGTTTTAGGCAAGGGAAGAGAGTGTTGATTGCCTGGCCTTTGGTAGGAAGCTGTAAAGATGAAATTAATTTTTTAATATTGATTCTTTAGTCGTGTGTGAAGTGGAAATACCCAAGCTTACTCAAGGTTACAGGATAGGTGTTACTATAGTAGAGATTTATATGTTGAATTTCATGATTTACTTTTAAAGGGAAAAGTTCTGATATATGTTGCCTTTATTCCAGTTACTAAAACTCCTGGAGAACCTCCCGGAATTCCTAGGCAAGCGTGGGGTTGATTGTTCTTCTATAGCTACATAAAAACAGAACTGTAGTGTGCACAGGAAACCTTCAGTCATCAAAGCAAGGGGTGGAAAGATGGTCTGGCTGATGTGACAGAATATAGAGACAGGTGTGACTGGATCCTGGTGCAGCATGGCCTGGGTTAAATAATCAGGTGCAGGTGGCAGTGCTCTGCTGACTGAAGGAAAAGGTGCAGCCTTGAGTTTCCAGTGTGGTTTGTTGTACTGCCTTCACAGCATTGCTAGAAACTCGAGGAAGAAGAGAATGATAACTCAGCCCCCAAAATCATAGAGAGCAGGTGTGACACAGGTTGGCTGTTGGGATGTTCTTGCACCTTAATCTAGTCCTCATATTGCTATATGGAGATTTTATCTTACTAAGATGTAGGATTTCTTTTCCATTTTGTTGCTTGCTTGTCACATAGAAAATTTATGTCCTTTAAGCACAGGATATGTTTTTTAAAATGCTGTCCAATAAGTTAATTCACATAACCACGGTGTGTCAACAGATTGAGTGAAACAAGCTGAAGTCGCTTTTCTTTTTTTGCTTCTTTGTAGGTCCATGAATTCCTTTTTGATTATTTATCTAATAATCCTCCTCTTTGAAGCCATTCTGAGCACTATTTTAAAGTATGCATGGCAGGCTGAAGAGAAATGGGATGAGCCCTGGTACAATGAAAAAACAGAGCATGAAAGAAATAGCAGTAAGGTAATGTAGTTTACCCAGTTGCATGTCTGGGGAACATTCAACCAAGATACTGAATGTGTTATTCATTACGTCTCTGTTCTTGAATGTAGGTGTAAGTATTCCATGATCCAAGCCTCAGTGGTTTTGAGAGTGTTACTCCTATGTAGCCTCAGTATGGTGCAGGAATATCTCTACCTCTGTTACTGGTTGGACTTTTTTTTCCTTTATGAAAAGACCAAGCTTTTTGAAAATTTTGGGCTTTGTTAGAACGTATTTCTGATGCTCTGTGCTCTTGTTACTGTTCTTTGGGGTGTCTTTTGTCATTCCATAAATGAAAAGAGGAGGAGGATGGCTGTTCTGGTGTGTCCTATTACAGTGATCTCACAGTTCAGGAATTTTATGTGTTCTGTGATGTTGAGATGGTTCAGACAATTTTGTAAGGCTGTAATTTTGCTCAAGCTCCTGCCTGCCTTCTCACTTATCTGTAGAGATTGGAGGGATACTTCGGAGTGTTCCTGAAATCTGCAGTTCTGAGAAGTATCTCTTTTTCCGAGCACTCTGTATTTTTCTGCTTTCTGCATAATTTTTGATTTCTGTATTAGTGTACCTTTGTCCAAAGCTGTTCAGGAGCTTAATTTGAAGTTTTGGCTATGCAAGGTAGACTAGCCTGTGGAGCCCTTTCAGTTCTGAAGAGAACAGGGTGAAATATTTCCTCAACCTTTCCATTCCTTTACCTTTGCCATCAGGAACACAGAGAGCCACATGTGTTTCTGCAGTGTCACTCTCCTTCTATGGTGTCTTTGTTTTTCTCTCTCACGTGTTTACTTCCACAATCTGCTTTGCATTTCTCGACATGCTGATCTCCTTACTTGGAGCGCTTCTCTGTCCATCTGTCCTGTGTGTGCAGATTGGTATTTCAGACAGCGCTTTAAGAAACTCTCCAACCTCATTAATTGTCACTACTTCTCTGTGTATCTTCTTTCACATGAATTATGCTCTTGGTTTCTTTCTGTATTTTCTGGTTTACTTTGGAAGATCTCTTTAGGCACCGAACTTGCTGAGTTTTTATCAGACACTTTAATTACTGACTTTTATTAAGTAATTATAGCAACACTCCCTAATTGGGAAGAACAAACATGATTTAGCTTTGCAAACTGTTCACTACTTTTATCTTCCCTTTATTTAAAATGTTCTTCTACACCAGTATCTGGTAGAGTTGAATGAGATGGCCTGTTTTTTTCTCATCTCTGATCTCCCTTGCTCAATATCCAGGGGTTAGTAAGAGTCTTCCCAAAGTACAATTCAGATACTGAGTTTGTTGTCCAAATGAAAAACAAACTTCAGAGCGGCTGTAGTGTTGCCTTTCAGAGTTTGTTAAAATTTTCATACCTAATAAAAAGTATCTGTCCTGTTATGTGGGTGTTTGCCTCAATTGTAAGTGTTAAACACAGTGATTTGAAGAGGCATAAACAGGGTCTTTGCCATGGAAATCCACATGGTCCCTTGTCATGTAGTCTGGATCACTGGGAATGGCAGCAGACAGGAGCACTCTTGTCACTCTGCTGTCCTAAAACAACACAGAGTCCTTGCAGATTCCTCTGACAGCAGGGAATATCAGTTGTTTGCCTTCACAATTTATGGTTCCTTAGATAAGCCTGAATGAGTCATGCTGTTTGGAATGGGGGACACGTTCTTTTTTCAGACCCTCTTTGAAAATAGAATCACCGTGACAGTTAATATTAACTGGCAGCCCTCCTGACAGATTCAGTAGATAGACAGAGATTAATGAACATGAGAATTCAAACATCCAGTCATTGCTTAAGGCAGACTTTTTGCTTCAGTCTGAAGGCGTGTTACTGGGGCAACCTGGGAATGCCTGCTTTGTCACTGGGTGTGTTGTCTCTCTCATGTGGATGTGGGACTTGGTCTTCTCTGGCTCTCTCAATTTGTCCTTCTTCATGCATATTGAAACGCAGTTAAGTCACCACGTTTCACCTGATGACTGTTGTAATCTTCACATTTTTTCCTTTTTCTCCTGTAGATCCTGAGATTTATTTCAGATTTTCTTGCCTTTCTGGTACTTTACAATTTTATTATACCTATTTCACTCTATGTGACTGTCGAGATGCAAAAATTTCTTGGATCTTTTTTTATTGGCTGGGATCTTGACCTCTATCATGAAGAAACAAACCAGAGAGCACAAGTAAATACTTCAGACCTCAATGAGGAATTGGGACAGGTAGAGTAAAAAATGCGCTGTTTCCTTTTTTTTTTTTAAAACCTATTTTCTACTTAGTTTTTAATATTAAAATTCATTACTGCAGTCTTCTTATTGGTTATGCTTTGATTAATTTTAAAATAAGGTACAGAGATGTGATGGCAAAAGCTAAAATTCTTACACGATCAAAACAACACGTGTAGTAGAAAGCGTGAATTGAGATTATTTTATTTTTTCTTTTATCAAGTGTATGCAATTCCAAGTCTGGTTTTTTTTGTTTGTTTGTTTTCTTTTACAAAAGGTAGAGTATGTGTTTACAGACAAAACTGGTACATTAACTGAAAATGAGATGCAGTTTCGGGAGTGCTCCATTAATGGCATAAAGTACCAAGAGGTCAACGGTAAACTAACTCCAGAGGGATTTTCTGAAGATTCTCCAGATGGAAATAGACATGGTTTGGTAAGACACTTTGCTTTTCCCACCATTAGTCATCCTAGATAGAAAGTGTTTTTTATTTCAGAGAAATATTCTTGCACGGTTAGGATGAAAAAAACCCAGCATAAATCAGAATTTCTGAATAGTTGGAAGCTAGTGATACTGAACAAATAATATTTATTAAATGTGTTGAGACGAGATTATTTAACCTGAAATACTTGGGAGGTTTTCAAGTAAAAACATCTTTTTTGAGGGCATTCAGAACTGGGTTGATAGCTAAATGTTACAAACCAAGATTTTCCTTTCTTACAGGTGAAAGAGGAAGAACTGTTCTTGAAGGCAGTTTGTCTCTGCCATACAGTGCAGATCAATGCAGATCAGACAGATGGTGCTGATGGTCCCTGGCACGCCAATGGAATAACATCCCCCTTGGAATATTATGCCTCTTCCCCAGATGAGAAGGCTTTGGTTGAAGCTGCAAGCCGGTGAGCTGGGCTGCCAGAAGTGCCTGACACAGAAATTGCTTCCCAGGGCAGGCAGTCTGTGCTGGAAGCTGCTGTAAAGATTGCTCAGGACGTTTCTAAAGCCCAGGGCCTGGCACTGTCAGCTTCCTGGGAAAACATGGACATATAAAATACACAAAACCACAGGTGTCCTGGAATCGTTTAAAATAGTTATGGAAATGCTTGGGAAAGCCTAGTGGTCAGAGCATGTTGCAAATAAAATACTGCAGAAAGTGGGCATTCTTAATTTTCTCTAGAAGTAGAGATGAGTAACGGAGTAGAAGAATGTCTCTTTGTCTTCCCTGCCACCTTCCCCTTCCTGCATCAAGGCATTTTGTCTGAAGTGAAAATTAAATGTCTCTTTTCTTTTCCTTTTAGGGTTGGAGTAGTATTTACTGGAATTAGTGGAGACACTATGGAAGTAAAAAGCCTTGGAAAACCAGAGAGGTATTCGTTTTTATTCCTCGTTTATTTTGAAGGACAGAAGAGTAGTGATGATTAATGTAAAGTTCTCTTCTCAGTCCTCTCTGTTCATAAGCAAACCTTGCCTTTCCACAGCTTGCTCTATTTAATGCTTTTCCCTTGATGTCTTCAAGACAGTTTGCATCTTATTCCTTACCAATTGTAGCTGAGATGCAAGAATTTTGTGAGTTACTCTGTGTAGGTGTGTGTTGTAACAGTTTGTATCTTTTCCCATTCCTCAAAGGTTGAGACTGTAGTAGAGCTGGAAAACTGAACTGCATATTCAAGTCCTAGAGTTTCTGCTTTCAGCTCTAGAAGTTTCCAGAATCAGTCTCATCTGTGCATAATCTAATTATGTATTTCAAACTTTCACAAAATGAGTAGAAATATTATTGATAACTGTATATCTGCAATATCCCATAACTCCTTTTACCCATTTTATCTATGTCAGTTGGCAATACTTTAAAGTTAAATGTCTAAAATTAATTTTTTGAACTAGTGGTAACATAAAAAACTAGTCCAGTTATCAGGGCACACACACTGTTTTTTTAACAGTGTAGATTGTTTACAAATGTTAGAAACAAAATGTAGTTTTCAAAGTTACACTTGAAATAATGACAGAAGGATAAAGAAATAGGAGCTGCTTGTAATCTTCAAGTATCAAGTTAGTATTCAGGAGACTATTCCTATTGGTAAAAGTGATGAAAAGCAGTGAATTGCACAGTGAATAATGGCAGTGATTGGTCATCAGTGGTAGCATTGCTTTTAGAGTTTCTATATAAAAATGACACTTTGAGGAAAGGTCTGTGGTGCAAGAGTCTATTTATAAGTAATTGTCTTCGGAAAATTATTTCTAAAAATGTTTTTTTTCCCTTCCCTCTTTTATTACAACACAAAATACAGGTACAAATTGCTTCACGTGTTGGAGTTTGATCCAAATCGCAGACGAATGAGTGTCATTGTGGAGAGCCCCTCAGGTAGGTCATCAGAAAATGCAAAAGCTGCAGTTGATAACTTCTTAAATGCCATTATTCTTAATTTCTATTCTGTTTTACTTCATAGGGGAAAAGCTTTTATTCACAAAAGGAGCAGAATCTTCCATTCTTCCTCGTAGCAAGAGTGGAGAAATAGACAAAACAAGGATACATGTGGATGAATTTGCTTTGGTAAGTGCGTGTGCTCGCCCAGCTGATCAGAAGAAAATTCATCTGCAATAAATTCTGTGGCTTGAAGTGAACAAATTACAGGTGACACCTTCTTGTTAGATCAGAATCTTGTCTACTCTGAATGCAGTCTTTTATTTTCTCACAGAAAGGACTAAGAACTTTGTGCGTAGCCTACAGAAGATTCACACCTGAGGAGTATCAAGAAATTGGCAAACGCCTTCATGAGGCCAGGACTGCCTTACAGCAACGGGAAGAAAGATTAGCAGATGTGTTCAACTTCATAGAAAGGGATCTGGAATTACTTGGGGCTACAGGAGTAGAAGACAAGTATGCAATGGAGTTACTGCTAACTACACTCAATCCCAGCGAGTTTGGGATTTATTCCTGAAATAGGATGTGTGAAAAACTCTCCCAGTATCATCAGAAGTTTTGTGCTATTCTTGTTTAGTGTGTTTGCCACTCTTTGGATTGAGCATTCAAAAACACAAGTTGTACCAATTGATTTTGGCTTAATAACAATGATGCACAGCTGTGTTTCATCAGGAGAGATTTCCTGTATGTGAAATGGAATAGTTGCAGTAAATAATTTAAATCAGGGTATACTTATGAAAAATTTTTGATCCTTTAGCAGGATTAAGTTCAGTTTTTGTTTCATCAAGGCCTTTGTTTTATTGCTGGTAACAGAGTATCATCTGCCAGGCTGTGATTCTCTGACCGTAGATGTGACATTGGAAATGCAGTCTTAACTAGTCATAGCAGTGGGGTTACAGTGGTAACATGGAGTTACAGTGTGAGCTGTTTCTTGGTAAAGTATTTTATTGGTTACTTAAGATTTTTCTTGTTTCCAGACTGCAGGAGAAAGTCCAAGAAACCATAGAAGCCCTCAGGTTGGCTGGTATCAAAGTGTGGGTGCTCACTGGGGACAAGCACGAGACAGCTGTGAGTGTCAGCTTGTCCTGTGGACACTTCCACAGAACCATGAACATCCTTGAGCTTGTGCAGCACAAGTCAGACAGTACCTGTGCAGAACAACTGAGGCAGCTTGCCAAGAGGTAAAACACCTGAGATGTCGCTGTCTCAGTGATGGTCTCAGCTTGGTTTTCTTTCATTTTCACATTTTACAACAATCTCTCTTATGAATGTGCCAAACAAAATAAGTTGCCTTTTTAGAAAGATTATTAATAACAGACTTGAGGAAGCAGTCTGTCTGACAAATTAACTTCTTTGCTTACTGTCTGGCCAACAGCACAGTTTATAGCAAATTGAAATTTTTCTGTGACACCAGTACAAAGTTAACATTTTTGTCCCTGAATAGAATAAAGGAAGACCATGTTATCCAGCATGGACTGGTTGTGGATGGGACCAGCCTCTCTCTTGCACTCAGGGAACATGAGAAACTGTTCATGGAAGTTTGCAAAAACTGTTCTGCAGTGTTGTGCTGTCGCATGGCACCCCTTCAGAAAGCAAAGGTAAGTGCAAATATAATGAGGATTTCCTTTAAAATGCTTTTATCATGCTTTGAGGAGGCATAAAACTGCTTTGTTTGTTTGCCTGACTGATGAATCCTTCTTAAATTCAGTTGATCTGGAGTAGTTTGCTTAGAAGTTTCTTACATGTGTGTTTGAAAATTTACAAGTGCATAGAAGAGTCAAAATCCTGCCACCATGCCAGCAAAAGGCTCATCTTTAATCTACCTCTTGAGTGCTGTGTAAGGCAGTAGCTGTCCTGACCACCTGCATGCTTTTGCCTTGCCTGCTACATCACTTCTCCAAACCAGAAAAGCCAAATGGAAAGTTCAGGGATCTGTAAGGAAGAAATGTGCTCCTCTAAGTATTAAAAAAATATACCCAAGTTTGAGGATGAAGTAAAAGGGAAGAGAAGCAGAGACCTCCAGGGGAGGGTTTCCTTCATGTTCTTCTAAGACCATTTTTCCCTCACATGTAATTAGTTTCACTCAAATATAAGGTGGGTGGAATTAAAATTCAGGTTTTGTGATTTTTATTTTTTTTTTTTCAATCTGAAAAGCTAAGCTCTGAAGGACTGGAATATTTCTTCTTTCCTTTTGAAATTTTCTCTCTCTGGGAAAAGACATCTTTTCACCTTAAAGCACTAGGAAACCCTTATGTGAGGTACTAGATGTGCAGAAGAGTGCAGGCTGTTTTACTATGGCACCTGTTTTGAGGTCGCTCTTCCTGCTTCCAACAATTAATCAGAGTTCTAATGCAGTCTTTAGAATCCCTTCAGTATAGAACTCTTCACCTGGTATAGTATTCGTTTCAATAAAATAGTAAAAGGAAATTGTAACTACTCTGAGTAAAGCAGTTTGTTTGATTTGTCCACTTGTGTCCTTTCTTTTAGCTGAAATTTTTGCCATCCCCTCTCTTTAAGGTACAGTTATTTGCCAGTGTTCTGTCCTTGTTCTTATTTTGTCATTTAACTTGATTTATAAGTCTTTGTACTGCTTTCCATAATTCCTGTCCTGTCCAGCAGATAATGGAGATTAGTTCCTGTCTTTCCTCATGAAGTACTGTAAAATGTAGTTTTGATGGCAGTGACTTTTTGATTTCAAACACCGAGGTATATGAATCACTGAGACAAATGCCATACAACATGAAGGGTAAGCAAGGAAGTCCAGGGCAGTTTAGTCTAGCCTTCCACATGATCTTTTGCTGTAGGCATCCTTTCTGAGAGATTTATTCCACGGTTAAGATGGAACTCAGGCTTAATATTTCCTGCATCTTTTACTAACTTTAATGCTTGTTAATAGATGGCTGGCAGTCTCACTACTAATTTCGGCGTGTTTTATAGCTGGAAAACCTTTTTGAACATCATCATGTCAGTCATTCAGAGCTGCTGCTGATTGCTGCTGTTATAATTTGCCAGGGGATTTGTCTTGACCTTTTCACATAGATGTTTGTCTGTGTGAATTACCCCAGCCTTGGGATCCCGGGAGGACTGATCTAGGTGACACTCTGCAGCCTTGTTACTTCTCTAGGGCTGCTTACTGGGATCTAATGCTAAAATGCACTTGAAGTAATTACCTCTTAAAAATGGGGAACCTTTAAGCTTGCATATTAATACCTGCAATTAGGGAATGTATTCTCACAGTCAGGTGGATTTCTCTGAGCTGTGGACTGTATTTAGTCACTGTTGCATTCCCCATGTGAAATGAGTTCCTGCTCCTGTGAATCAATGCCCTGCCACTGCCAGCTACAATTCAATTATTCCAACACAGGTTTTCGTGTCTCCTTACCTCCTGCCAGTGGTGCTCTGTTGATATTTCCACCTTGGGCTTTCTGGAACTTCAGATGGAAAACGTTTTTCCATACACGTTTATTTTCTTGGTTTTGGAAAGCCTCTTGAGCTGCATTCCTACCTCTATCTCTGCAGTCTGTTTACAACTGAATTAGTGAAGCTTCTGCCTTAAGCCAGAGCTCTCTGGGAGGTTAATGAACTACTAATTCTCCTTAACCAAAAGCCTCATCTAACTAACTCCTCTGTATTTAGAATATTGTTGGCACTTACTTAAAGATCCGGTTCCTTCCTGCAAAGAGCTGAGTCTCACTGCTCTGTTCTGATTATTTTATGACCTTACATGTCACCAATTTTTTGCCTTTTTCTGTCATATTTCCTTCTGTGTCTTTTCCAACTGAGAATACCCCTTGGTGATAATGAAGTTGCTTTAAAAAGAATCTGTTTTCTTTAATGACAGCGTATTGATCTTTTAGCTGATGCATTTGCTTTTTGAAATTCCTCTTTTACCTGGATTAGTTCCATTAATTACAAATATGAAGACGCTGGGCATGTCTAGTAAAGGACACTAAAGCTGTATTACTCCATAAGTAAATTTTCAGTTCCAACTTTTACATGACTGTTTCATATGACAAAGCACCAAATTAAACAACGTAACAGAATATTGAAATAAGAACAGGAGAATAAGTTCAAGGCAGGCATAATACTTAGATAAGTATTTTATGCCCCAAACCAGCTACTTTTCTAAAGAAGGAATGAATTCGTGCTTGTGATATGCCAAAGACGTTTTTTACCCAAGCATTCATGCTCATTATATGTATTAATTATATTTACAGGTAGGGAACTAATTTGATACTTGGGAATTGGTGACATGATTTATGGGTGGACTGTCTAATATAAAATATTTAATTTTTAATTTCCAGGTAGTGCGACTGTTAAAAACGTCTCCAGAGAAACCCATAACATTAGCAATCGGGGATGGTGCTAATGATGTGAGCATGATACAGGAAGCACATGTTGGCATAGGTAACTTTCTTCTGTCTGAAGCAATAAAGGCTTTTTTTTATTTGAATCAGCATCAAACAAGCAGTTGCCCTTAGTTGTAAGGGGGAGGAGCAGTACCTTCTGTTGCAACAGAAAGCTGCTGAAGTCCTTATAATGTTGAAATGCAGGAAAACTGTAATTTCAGATGTATGTTGTTGGGGGTTTTAAACTTTAATTTTTGTAATCCTTAACCTATTTTCTGTTTTGTTTCCCAAACATTACAGGAATCATGGGGAAGGAAGGAAGGCAAGCTGTGAGAAACAGTGACTATGCAATAGCTCGGTTTAAATTCCTCTCCAAGTTGCTTTTTGTTCATGGGCACTTTTACTATATTAGAATAGCAACCCTTGTACAGTACTTTTTTTATAAGGTGAGTTTTCCAAGCGTGCCAGAGAAGTTCACAGAAATATGTCATTTTTTCTTTTCAGCTGTTCCATTTCCTTTAAAGGCAACATTGTGTTGTTAGGTTTCGGTTTCTGCTTTGTCTGCTCTAATAAGCTCACGTGAGCAGGGTATAGCTTTCATGAATGAAATGTGGAATCTATTTTGCAAAGAAGTTCTTAAAAAGAATCTGAGGGGAAAATGAATGGATTTCTTCTCTTTTAATGCTGCTCAGACTCCCATAGTGAGATGTGTTCATCAGGCAGGAGTAATTAAGTTTATACCTTACGGGTTCATTGTCCCAAAGGACAAATAAACAAAATGTGCTGTCAGGTAAAGAGTCTTGTTTCACTTGGCCCTATAAAATGTTGAAATGCTTTATGATCTTCATGTGTATTTTTACCAGCTTTTAAGAGTTTGCAGTTTCTGATAGAGTTGTGAGGAATATATGAAGGATTAACTATTTCCTTCACTTTTCTTTATTTCAGAATGTGTGCTTTATTACACCACAATTTTTATATCAGTTCTTCTGTTTGTTTTCACAACAAGTAAGTATTGGCTGCTTTACATCTCAGTAATTGTACTAATATTAATTATTGATTATAAATAATAATTATTAATAAGCAATAATATTAAATAACTAATAAATATATAACTAAATTAGTTAATAACTACACAGGGGCAGCACAGATTTTACACTTCTTAAAAAATATCCAGCTGATTTTCTGTATTTGATAGCTCCATGTTACTAGGTGGTTATGAGAGTACAGTTTTTCCCTAACAAGTAAATTCCTACAAGTAATGATTTGTTGCTGCTGTTAGTGTGCACAAGCACCTTTTCTCTCTTCACAAGACTCAAAATCATTTCTGTTTTCCTTTCCAGACGCTCTATGACAGTGTATACCTGACTTTGTACAATATTTGTTTCACTTCCCTGCCTGTCCTCATATACAGTCTGTTTGAGCAGCATGTGCATCCGCATGTATTGCAGAGTAAACCCGTGCTCTACAGGTACCTGCGTCTTACATGAACTCATCATTTACAGCAGTGGTGGCATCTGCAGAGTTCTGAACTTGCTGTTGGACATTTGTGCAATATTTTATCTGTGATTCGGGGGTTTTTAGTGACTGTCTTGATGAGGAAGAGCTGCTGCTGCATAGCTTTTGTCCTGAATGTTAATTGACAGGAGTATTTTAAGAGAAGGATCTTTTTATGTCAGTCATGTTAATAATGTAAGAGCATTGAGCGCTTGGTCAGCTCACATGATTGGCAGCCTTCTCCTCCATTACATGTAGGAGGTGAAAATGACTCAGCCGTGCAAATGAAAAACTAGGACACCTGATTAGGGGAATCACCACAGAAAAATCCTCTACTGGGAAAAGAAGTGATTTCCTGTAGAATTAGATGTCCTCCCAGTGGTAACATGTTGCACTGCATACTGCTTTTTGGAGAAAACAAAATCTATTTTTGTAAAAAAGAGATGTCTCTCAGATGTTTCTCTTGTTGTAAAGGTCTGTTAAGCAGAACAGGAGGTAAGTATCAGGAGATCTTTTTCTTCCTCTTGCAATTCCACCTCCAGGGACAAGAATTCTAGTTTGTGCTATTGTGAATTTGACCCATTAGAGACCCTTGCCACTGGTGACCACCGCTTAAAGCAGAGCCAAATCATGAGAGCTCAGAGTTCTTTTTTTGCCCATAGTTTATGTATTTTTTTCATATGTCAGCATTTGTTAAATGTGTCTCGCTGCAGTTGAAAGTTATATTTATTCGAAGCAGTAGCTCTAATGTCATGTGAATAACTCATGGTTTATACAAAGACAGTATGAAATCCAAAATCTGTTTTATTTCTGCAGAGACATCAGTAAAAATGCCCATCTGGGGTTTAAACCATTTCTTTACTGGACCGTCTTGGGCTTCTTTCATGCATTTGTTTTCTTTTATGGCTCGTATCTTCTAATGGGAGAAGACACTTCTCTGCTGGGAAATGGCCAGGTACAATATCATAAGTATTATTCTACCACTGTATTTTTGGTGATACTTCTTAATTTTTTTTTCTTAAATCCTCTTGTGTCTGAAAAATTTTATTTTTATGGACTACATAATTATCAAAGATTCTTTGTCAATATTAGTGTGTGCTCTCAAGAGTGACATTTCTGAATGTGGCAATTGTAAGACATTGTCAGAAAGTGTATGTCCCTGAAGAACATACCTTTCAAGATAATAAATGTATCATGGTTGTCTTAGACCTCGTTTGATTTTGTATACTGTTTTTGTCAAAGTTGTATTTCATGTCAGTAAATGAGTATTTATATCCATTCATTCAAAACTCATTTTGAGTTGGACTTAATTGCAGTGTCAAGCAATGGCTTCTCCTTAGTAGCTGTTATAAAGCTAGGCTTAAATCTGAAAGTTGACAAAAGTCTTAAAGCTTCTCCTGAAAATGTATTATTTTAATTATATTACTCAGATTTTTTTTTTTTTAATTTAGTGGTGCAAGCTGCTTTTAAGTTATACTTTTTATCCAGTAAATGTTTTTAAGACAGTAAGTTAATGAAATCATCAAATACTAATGTGACACTTTAAAATAAAGTTCACAGGAAGAATCATTCAGAAAAAAACTCTAAAGCTTGGATAAAACCATTACAAGTCTGTTTCCTCATTTCCTACTGGTTCTGAGTTCTTTAGCTCAGTTTAGAACAATTAGATACTGATTTTTCCCTCGTAAAACATGGGTAGGAATGGGAAAATACATTTGGTTCTCATTATACCATTCTTAATACTGGCATGGAGCACTTGCTGATTCTCATGTAGTGCTTGGCAGAGTTGCAGATTATGGCACAGGGTACAGAAATTGCCTCATGCTGAATTCACGGTGGTCACCTGGTGACAGGGAGCTCAGGAAGTTTAGTTAAAAACACAGTGATGTACAGACAACAGACAAAGTTGCCCTGAGAACTAAAGTCAGAAAGCTGGTGGGTCTGAGCATCCCTGCAGGGAGAGGAGCAGTGGAGGGGGGGTGCTTTCCACTGTGAGGTGTTTGGTGAGAACATTAAAATAGTTGTGCTTCAGACTAAAATGTCTCTTCCAGCTGAGGTGTGAGTGTGTCATCTCTTGCCATTTGTTACAAGCTCTGTGATTTGAAATTCTTGTGAATTGGTAAAGGTCCTTCAGAACTCTTCTAATGAGGTAATTTTAGACAATGAATCAGTGTGTTTTGGTGCATCCATCTTAAGCTGTCAGAGCACCTCACTTCAGAACTGCTTAGTAAATGTCCACAAGGCAGGAACAGATTTCTTCGGTTTTATTTAGTAACAGCTGGTTAGTTTGGGGAATTGACAGATGCCCTTTGGCTTCTCAGGGGATATGACTTCAGATCAATTCTATGATTCTGGAGTTTTTTGTTACTCTGCCTTCTGTATTTGCTAAAAGATGGTTATTGCAACTGGTAGAGCTGTGTGTTGCAGTAAAACATCTTCAGTGCTTAAAGTTTCTTGCAAATTAAATGTGTGCCTAAAAAAGCCAAAATTAAGGGCAGGAGAACCCAGTGTACTGCTGGAGTAAGAAGTCCTCAAGAAGTGGTCACCACCTGTGCAGATTTTATGCAGGGTAGTATTAGTGCAAGGCCTCACATTTCCATTCCAGGTTCTCAGCTTGGAGCACCGCAGGATAGAGGAGACTGTAAATAATTTGTTAATCCTGGTGTTTGTTAGGTTTACCTCAACCCACTATGCAACTACTTGATCTTTTAGTTCTTTTTTCTCCCCCCTTTTTCACGCTGTGCATGTCGTCAGATATTGAAACCTAACAGGCAAATGGTAAGAGTTCAGAAGAGGAGGAGATACAAAATATTGTATCTGTTACTTCATAGGATTAAAGGATGCAGCATCCGCAGTGTAAATGTGTTCAAAAATAAAATGGTGGCAAGAACCCGTTTGTGTTTTGTGTTCTAACTCTGTGACCATTGAGAGCAGTGTTAGCAAAGACACTTTCTTTCACAGGTCACTCAGGAGCAGAAGTTTAATTTCACTTTTAAGGCTACTATTGCAGCAATTAACAACAAGCACGTTGTGACAAGTAAAACAAACACTTCAGGAGACGTGTTATAACAAAGATCTTTAAAATGATCAGTAAATCCAGACTCATAGCTGCCTCAGTTTCGTAACTTGTGTACAGACGAGAAAAGCAGTTGTGAGATCTGTCATCAGGCTGTTGGGATTTTTCTGTCAGAGCTCTGTAACAAGAACTACAACTGTGTGAATCCCAGTTCCGTGCCTCTGTGCCGTCCTGACACATCAACTCTAGGATGACTCTGCCTGTCTGCATGCGGTACCTTCCTCCTTGCTTGCTTAGTCTGCTACCAGTAAATACAGATTTGAGGATCTGGTCATTGTTCAGTTTGTCAGTGGCAAAAATAGCTGCAAAATAGCAACATCTTTTGTGTCAGCAGCCAGCCTGCTCCCAGGAGCAGAGCAGTCGGACCTGTTGTAGAATGGCAGCTCTGTGTGGGCAGCATGTGTGTAGATAGATACAACCTCAGCATCCCTGCTTGGTTGTCAGAGCTGAGATTTTATTGTTGTAGACCTTGTTCAGAGTTTTGATAGCTTGATTTTCATGCACGAGAGAAGACAAAAGTGACAGATTCAGGGTTTTAGAATGGAAGCTTATTTTGGGGTTTATCAGCCTTGAAACAAAGTGTCTTTTCCTTAGAATTTTCTTTGTAAACTGCAATGGCACCATTATTTTTGAATTTTAAAGTTGTGCTTGGGGTAAAAAGTGAACCTTCAGGTGATGCTGCATGTTGGAAATTATCTGAAAATGTTTAAACTCAAAAGTGTTTTGCACTTAAGTTAAAATACCTTCCACCCAGTATTTCCTTTCTATTGGATGATTATCAAAACTGATCAAATTGATATCTTCATTTTCATTTCATATTACTATTTTTGACTTTTTTCATATTTCATGTAGTCTTTGTGGTGGTTTATTTTGAACCAATAAGAAAGATGACTTCTGGGTTGTTAATTTTGCTCTTATCATAAGCTGTATTATTTTCCTGGTAGTTTGTGTTGTATCCTCCCTGCTTTTTCATGATGATTACTTGTCACCAGCTTATGCCCACAGACTGATTTCTTTAGTGTAGCTGAATTGAGAAGAATCTTAACTTACTGTGAATGCTCTTAATTGATTTTTTTTTTATCTTCCATGATTTTTCCTTGCCCTTTTCTCAGATGTTTGGAAACTGGACATTTGGTACTTTGGTCTTCACCGTTATGGTTATAACTGTCACGATGAAGGTAAGATACTGCACTGACTCCTCTCTGTGTTTGGGAGGATAGGCAAATATGTAATAAAGCAGTAATTTAAAATTGATTCAAAAGTTGTACAGAACTAATTGATTCTTGGGGGTTCCAGATAAGTGACTTCTACATTTCAGTTCAATGATGGTTAAAACGTTTCTCTAGTTTTTGTGTGTCACAGCAATGTTTAGCGTTTGGGCTGGAAGTTCATAAGTATGTTCAGATTGATATTTGTAATTTTCTGTCAAGTTGGTGGAAAAGGAAGCTTACTGACATTATCTCTCTTTTAGATGGCACTAGAAACTCACTTCTGGACATGGATAAACCATTTTGTTACTTGGGGATCCATTGTATTTTATTTCATATTCTCCTTGTTTTATGGGGGAATTATCTGGTGAGTGATTCTTTTTTTCCCCCCTTTCTGTAGCACATAAGATCTATGAAACTATGAAAAAACACTGCAGGATTATATTGTACCATCTTGCTCTGAATTTTATGTCAGGTTTAAAAAAAAAAAAAAAAATTAAACCTAGAGCAGCCACTTTCTTTTGGTGACCCTTTTATAAGTTTGAGCAATGCTGCTACACTGTCCTGTGCTCAAAGACAGACAGGGCTTGTCTCTGTCAGCTGTGACTGTGAAGGCATTTTTGCTCATAAGAAGTAGATGGCTTCCCAGAGGTGCTGTGTAATAGGTAAACATTTGCAACAGAAATGAAGATGCTGGGTTTGAATCAGTGAAGGGGGGTATTTTTTTCCTGTATTTTTGGGGTCTTGGGGGGATAGGATGGTGGTTGATTTCTTTTGAAAACAGTTCAAAACTAAATCAGAACCTTTCCCTCCAGAGTTAAGTTCCCTCCCTCCCCAGAGTGTCTTTGCAGGTCAGGTCCAACATGTTGCTGGACTTGTACATGGACACCACCACTCGTGACTGCATCCTGAGAGACTCAGTGCTTGATGTAAAACAGATATACTGGAGACAGCCTGTGCTGTACTTTTGTTTCTAGAAGTTCCTTTTTAGTAATTGCCACTTCTTTTAACTTTTCAGGCCATTTTTACATACCCAGGACATGTACTTTGTATTTGTTCAGCTGTTGTCAAGTGGTTCTGCTTGGTTTGCCATAATCCTCATCGTAGTTGCTTGTTTGTTTATTGATGTTGTGAAGAAAGTGCTGTACAGACATCTGCAACCAACAAGTACTGAAAAAGCTCAGGTAATACTATGCTTTTGTATCCAACTTCACCAATAGTTATTCTCTTACATTGCTGTCATGTTTAATGCATAGAAGTGTTCTCATTTCAGAATACAGTTGTTAATTTAAAATTACAAAAGTGAGGACACCATTTTACAAGGCAGTAATGTTTCTGTTTAAGTAACTGATAATAACAGGAGCAGAATGACATATGGAGAAGTCACTCAGTCTTTCACATTTCAGCTTGCAGCTGTATGAGAGGATCAGGCTGTATATATTTGTCCTGTGTTCAAGATGGTAACTTATTCTCATTTTTGTCTAGGTATTAGAGGCTACAACTGTAGTTGCCGTGGAGTAGTTCTTAAAATGTGATGGAAACAATAATTTTTAAAATTACTTTATTAGGACTTTTTTAATTAGTATTTCTTAAATCTCAGTCCTGTCATATGCTATACATTTGACTGTTGATCCTGTAATTAAAGCTAATTACCCATGTGGCAGTTCCACGGGTCCATAGACAAGGTCTTAAAGATATGCTGTGATAGTAAAATCTTCCTTTTGCCTGACACAGGCTGCAAAAAATCCTTTCAGTCATTCTGTTGAAATTGGGCTGTCTTTTAGGTAAATATCTCATCTCTGGGTGTTTCTTCTTTTTAGTGACAGTTACAGAGAAGTCATCCTGACCCATTGTTCTCATAGTGGCTCTCTCTCTGGTTTCAGTTTCCAGTGTTTTATCTTTTTAGACTTTTTCTGCTAAACTGAGAAGCCTTTTGTTACAGTGTTTTGTTTATTCACAGTTAAGTTTGTGATCAAGTTCATTTTCACACTGATAGGTAGACTGGGCTTGCATCTTTTGTCAAAAAGTTGGTTTACAGCCTTTTCATGAGTGTTGTGTTTTTCCTGTAATCTTCAACATTCCTCAGCCTCATCTTGAATTTTGGATTTCACCAGGGGACAGCATATTCCAGCACAGCAGACATCAGTGCCAAGTATGGAAATAATAAATCCCCCCGCTGTATTCAGTTTACAGAATAATGTACATCAAGAACCTGTTGTCTTCTGCATCTTCTGCTCATCTGCAAGGGCTGGTGTTGGTTTCTTTCGGGTTGTTAATGAGAGGTCAAATAGCACAGGGCCAAAAAAGAGTGAATGAAGAACCCAGCTGTCAAAGACATCCCATACACAGCTCTGGTCTGAAACCTCTTAGCAGCTTTTAGTCCATCTGTGTGCCAGATTGATTTTGTGGTGTCCTAGTTGCTTAATCCAAATTACTCTGAGCTCTGTGTCATGCAGAACCCCTGACAGCATTACATCAATGCTGTTATCTTTAGCATCTAACCTTGTAATTACTTTGATGTCAGTGCATGTTGATTTACTTAAATTATATTACCCTTCTAATTTGTGTTTAAAAAAAAAATTCCATATGCGACATTCTCTTGCTTTGCCTCAGATCAACATCATCCTGACAGGCCTATTGCTGTCTAAAGTATCCCATTATTCCCTTTTCAAAACTGGAATATTGGCTGCTTTTTTCTGTCTTGGAATTTAGTAGCTAAAAGTCGAGGTAAATAACCACTGGCTTGCAGAAGACCCTTGAGTTAGGCCTGATAAGACTCTGGATTGCACATTATTGCACTTCTTGGATTAAAGGGTCTTGATTTAGGAAAAATGCAATAGGTAATCACACTTACTTGTCTTTTCCTCTTGAAAAACTAGTGGCAATATTTATCAAACACTTCCCTTTCCTTCCTTCCTGTGATCAACTGTTGCTGTTTGGCTTTGTATCAGTGTGGTTGTTGAGGTTTCTCATGTTCCTAAAGTGCTTGAATTAAAACCCAGAAAGCTACATGATTTTTCCCTGCCTTTATCCATATACTTCTTGCTGCATTCTTTTGCTTTCTGAATCAATTCTAAAGAATTTCTGGGTTCAATTTGCTTCCATTACAGTTGTGTTGACAAGGACACAGTAGGACTTCTTGTTTTTAAAAAGGAATCTTGATGAATGTCTAACATCTTTCCCGTGGCTATAGCTTGATTCCTAGCCATGGGGATTTTGCTTTGTGCATCTCTATTAGGTTTGGTTGGTTGGGGGTTTCTTTGTTTGTTTGGTTTTTTTTTCTTATTCCCTTTCTACGTTGCATTTGACAGTCAGCAAGTAGGGTGTGTGTTTACCAAAATACTGTCTTTTTTCCTGAAAACTCTTAATTCCTGATGCTGCAATATGATTTGACTAGAAATTCTTCAGCAGCCATCCCATGGCTTCTCTGTGTGTGTCTGATAGTGAAATCATAGTTAAAAATTTATTTATGGAAAGAAAACACCTCTTTGTTCCTTACTCGAGGTTTAATCTGTTGAGATTTTCCCACTCTTAATGGGACAATCAGCTCCATTGAATTTCATTTACTATTCTTGAAGTGTGAAAGCACTAATAAGTGAAGAGGAGCAGATGATCAGCTTAGCATTCTGTCCCTTCTTGACAACATTTGTGCTTCTTCATTACATGTGTTTAAAATTTCTAGTAAATATTTTTCTTTCAGTTTCAAAGCAGAGGAAGAGACTCTGAGATAGAAGGGGTTTGGAGAATGTCTTTGTCCCAGATGCTAGGGGTGCTGTCTAATGCTGATGACTTCTGTGGAAGTCATCAAAGAGCAATTGAAAGAGTCATTAAAAGAATAAATATGGAACTTTGTATATTGCTCTATTAAATGCTGTTTCTCATAGTGCAGATGCTTCCTGTGTCTAGCTGAATATTTTTAATTATTTTTAAATTGTAGGACTGAATTAGTATATTTTCATACTGGGGAAAAGAAAAAGTTCACAGTTACTACAGTTTTTATCATGGTGAGATAAATTGTTATTGAAGTAGTCACTTGCTTCTAAATTGCAGCTATTTCAGTTGTCTCTGACTGCCACCATTTAAATTCTAAACTCTTCCCAGGAGCGCTGAGCAAACACAGGTTCCTCAGCTGAAAATGAAATGCTTGCCTCTATTGTTTGAATTTTTCAGAAACCAAGAGCACGTTAGTTGTGTGCCTTACCTGAGTTACTGCTCTGAATTCACTGTGTCTGCAGGCATCTGCCTTACCCCACTTAACATATGAGGAACTTGATTTTATCTTTTTCTTTGTATAAGGTCATAGCATCAACATTCAGTCTGGTTTTGATCAGTCAGGTGTTACATGTAGCAAAGTTATTCATAAGAAAGCAGAGAAATTTAACTGATGTGAGAAACACCTGATAGACTTCTAAATGTAAGTACTGTTCTGTCACAGCAACTCATATCTCGCCCTTTCATTTTGGGAAATAAGCAGATTAAAAATTTGACAGGCAAGTATGAGTTGACTATTATAGAGAGATGAATTTCGTTAACTTTACCTTCCTTAATGCACTTAAGGCAAATGTGTTACTTTATTTTATTTTTGCTCTGTTCCAAGGGCTTTTTGCTGGCCTAAAGAAAAGCCATCTCATGTTTAAGTGAGTTGCCCTAAGGTGGTAGCTTGTGGGCCATTTCTCACTCTAGGCCTGTTACAGAACCATATAGGAGGAAGTGGACAGCAAGGTAAACGTAAATCAAAGTATAAATCTTTGGGTAAATATAAATCACAGCACTATTGAGGGGAGAGAGTAATGCAGAATAAAGCACGGATGTAAAAAGCGCATAGGCCATTTTTCTCAATATTGAAAGCACAAGTACATTAAGATTGGTCCTACCAAACAGTAACTGGCTGTGATTATCCCAGGAGCTGTCTTGAAGGTACCAGGCTTGTGTTCTGTATATGATGTGTATTCCACTTTAAATAACAATGTGTTGTCCTGTGTCTTTCTCTTAGAAAATTACTGCTGCTACTTACTGACATGTATGTTCCATCCCTTCTCTGTCCAATTGTAGATGTACTCCAACAGAGTTGCTTTAAGTGACGAGTTCATCGCACTGCAGCCATTGTCCAGGGCAAGGAATCAGCTGAGCAAAATTAGGTAGAGTAGGAGGGACAGTTCCTCATCAACTCTTATGCATGCTGAAGGTGAACTAACCAGTGCTGAGAGAGATGGGAAGAGGCATGAATACCAGTGGGTTGAGAGGGCAATACCTGTAGTGCAGAAACATTCAGTTTGGTTATTTCTTGGCTTTGCTCTGTGTTTTTTGAGCCAAATGCTTCTCCTAAGTAGCATGTGTTGGACGTGCTTTTTTTTTTTTAATTTTTATTTTTTGAGGAAGAAACATCCCTAGCATGATGCTCAACTTTCAGAATACAGATCTAGCTGTTCTTGCATCCATTGTTAAATAATCCTGGTTTCTAGCATGGTTATAAATGCTTTTAATTTCTTTATGGTAAAAATTAACAGTGCTCTTTGCATGCTGGATAATTTCAGCTTCATGAGGCCGTGACAGGAAAATCCATGTATTTCAGGCAGCAATTTCTTGCGAGTTATTTGTCCATTTTAATTTGCTTTTCAGTTGTGTTGAAAGAGCGGAAAATGTCTGAAGCTTGGGTGCTTACATACCCTTGTGCAGCTAAGGCTTTTTGTGTGTGTTCTGTGCAGCTATAAAGTGAGTGTTGTTTGTTTTCAATGTGTGTAGATACATATTCCTAAAGGCATTTGGCTACAAAGTCCCAGAAAATTATTCAAAAAAAAGATCAAAGTGTACGTGTGTCTGTGCAGGTAAAACACGATTCTGAAACTCTTCAAATGCACCGACTTCAGTACATGAAATGCTGTCAAATGCTGATTCTCTTTTGTAAGACTTAAGCGTCCAAAGGCATCAGCAACTGTCTCAGCCTGCTCACTCCCATCATTATCTACTTCTATATTCCACAGCAAGAATTTAGGCAAAGATCTGATTACTTTTAAATATTTTTTAAGATGACTTTGTTGTTAAAAATGTGCAAATAGGTGCTAGGAGAACCAACCAACCTACATTTTTGGGACTTAACTGCCGTTCGTTGAACCAAAAGAGAAGAGTTTTGTATTTCCTCTGAGAGTGCACTACACCTTTACAAGGCAAAACTTGACATGGCCATCGTGTTTGGCTGTCAGTGGTGCCACTGTGAAACACATCACCTTGGATTTCCAAACACCCAGGGAGGTAGTGGTGGGGTGGTTTAGTTTGGTTTTGGTTTTAATTCAGCTTTAAAGCAGGCAAAGTGCTGTTTGTTAGTAAATGATTTAGCGTCTGTAAAATTAGCGACAGTGTTGGGGAGTTGCTCTGCAAAAGCCTTTACAAGATAGCTTTTAAATTTCTTGGTTTATCAGCGTCATCTAAATATGTTACTTTGGACAAATACATTTCCTGAAAGTCTCTCTTTTCTCAGTGAATTACTAGAGAAGATTCTGTTAAACTTCCCAAAACTAAACACATTTTAAGGGTTATGGAGCTGGATAGTCAAAGAAAAACAAGGCTGTCTAGGAATGCAGCCCTGTGGTTACTAAAATGCTAAAACCAGGAGAATTCTTGCTAACTTGAGGTGATTTTCTTCATATACACTTAGGGAAGGGGTTGAAAAAAAAAAGGGAAATTTGTTTTGTCCATGTGTAACAAATGATTATACAAATCCAGTTCTCTTTATGTCAGAATTTTTACACTGGAGCATCTAATAATACCTGAAATACAAGCATGAGTGCCTTAAACTATGCAACTGAACCTGTAAAGTGCAACAAGAAACAAAAAGGGTTTGGGTTTCTCTAGTTCTTTATTCTGTCTTTGGCCAAAGCTCAGAAGCAATCCTGTGGATCATTACCTAAAACAGTAAAAAAAAAGGAAAATCAGTTAATAGACAGAAACTGCTGACTTCACTATACTAAATGAAACCTATTTAGAGTGAAGGCCACGGGTTAGTTTCTGTGGTGTCACGGGCAGCTATTTTCCTGAAGCAGTAGGGCAGAAAAAGCAAGGAAAACTGCAGGAGCAGGAAACAAAACAGCTGCTGGGGAATATGTGGCTGTAAGCAGCTAATCTGTCACACCTCATTTGTAGGTGCCCACCCAGTAATCGCATCCTTTGTGATGCAGAATGCATGGGGGCTGAGGAACCGACTTTGGCAGTTTTCTTGTTGTTTGTAAATATGTATTAAAATCTTCAAAAGGACCATAAGTCCAGGTTAAACCGAGTTATGCCTTGTTCTGCCAATGTGCTTACTGTTCTGTTGAGAGACAAAAGGAGAATCCCTTTGTGAATGCAAATTAAAAGACAAGTATGATGTTACAATAGGTTTTTTTATGTCTATAGGCTTCACAGTGTGCAAAAAATGTTCAAGTTTATATTAAATACATTTGTGATGTAGAGTTAGAAGTTTTGAAGGGGGTCTTTTAAGTGTCCATGTGATTCCTGTGAGTCAAAATTGCAGTCTTGTGTGTTAAACTTTTGCCTCTGAACTTTTTTGTCACTTTTGTAACTTGGGATGAAAAGGAAATGAGGCAGCAGAGCTCAGGTGCAGGTGTTTTCCTCAGCTGGAGTCTGGCTGAGCACTGCTTTCCTCCAAAGCTGTCTCTCCTGTTCTTGGAATGTGTGAAATATGTATCTTAGGGGACTGACTGGGTCCCACTGTATCTTCATTCCATTTTTTTATTTGTAAATAAAGTTTTGTGTCTGCATGTGTGTCTACATGTCTCTCTGCTTTATAAGAACTGTCAGAAATCTTGAGCCACATGTGAGAAGTGTTGCTTGGACAGATGTTTTACTTCTGCTTGCTGATGGGATTAACTGTGTTTAGAGAGTTTTTACCTCTGGACAGTGTGTTATGAACTACAGGGAATGTTAAAACACAAGAAAGGGGTCTATTCACAGAGAAGGCTGTCAGTGCATAATGGCATGTCCTGGACTCTGACTGTAGCATTTGCCTCGTCACAGCCCAAGCCCAGCTCGTTCCCCATCTACAGGCCCATAAGTCTGTTGTTGCCTGGTTTTCACTTCTTCTCTGTCCAGATCTGCTCTGTCTCCAGATCTCCAGGCTCCTGGCCCTGGCTTTAAGGCCTTCATTACTTGCTTATATTTATAACTCTAGTTCCTGTTTCATAGGATTCCCCTCCTGACAGCTCTCAGATCTGACCCAGCCCAGCTGTGCCAAGTCGAGGACAGCCAGGTCTCTGTTCCTTTTACAGCCTGTTTTCTGTAAGGAACATGAAATTCCCAAGAGGACTATCCACGTGCAAGCACACATTTGTACTAGTGAGGTGTACCAGGACACCTTAATATTCGAAACTTTGATCAGGGGTAATCTCTTCCTTTAAGGGTTTGTACATTTTGTTAGCATACCTTTGTGCTGATCTATTAAGCTAGTCCATAGAATCTATCACAGGAGGAAGGAATAAACCAGCAAAAAATGCACCATTTGTAATTTGTCTTCAGTCACAAAAGTGCACGTTACTTATCTGAAGATACTTTTGTCTGATGACTTTGAAATAGTGAAATAATTTGGTGTTTGCAGGTTTATTTGATTCAAAGAGACAAGGAGTAAAAAAATTAGAGAAGTGTTGAAAACGTAAGTGCCAGGGAAGTTGTTAGACATCAATATTCTAATATTTTAAAATTCTAAAGCTAATTGTTTAGGATTTTGTTATCCAGTGTATTAAAGGTTAAAGACAGTGAGCTTTACAGTAGGGAGCAAGTTGTAACTTAACTGTGGAATAGTAATAATCAGTTCATATATTTTCTGAAATGTCCATGTGGCATCAGACATGTTGGCAGCAAGACCTGGGCTCAGGAAGATATGTTGCAGTGCTCCAAACTCGGTGTCCAGGATTAAATACATTTCCTGTTCCACAAAGCCCCAACTGCACACAGTGTGATTAAATGTTGAGTTGAAATGTCCATCTTGTGGCACGTAGAATAACCTGTAGCAAGGCAAACAAGCTGAAATGGCCCTTTCTTTTAGAAGGAGGGAAACAAATAAAAGTGCAAAAATCTGCAAATCTGAAATAGATTTCAAATTTGTTGGGTTTCCCCCTTTTGTACTCTGTGGTGCACAGAGGGACCAAACACTTCTGAAACCGCGTTTGATCCACGGATTGACGTGAAGAAATTGCCTCTTTCCCTCATGAACGTGCCTTGTTCTCTCACGAAATGGGAGTTCATGTGACTGGGGTAACTGTTTCAAAGCGATGCAAGCGTGGTACTTTATAAGATTTGTTGCTTTTCTGTCCTTCTAGATGGAAGAAGATAAGGGTTCAGTCAGCTCAGCAGGTGACTTTGCTGAAGGGCACAGAGGGGAGGACAATAGGCAACTGCTAGACCCAACTAGCCTGCCCGACAGTCCTTACGTTCACTAGGTAGTACTCCCACTCTACCCTAATGTGTGTCTGTATATATTGACATATTTCATATAGAGACAGTCATGGAGCCATTCCAAAATACCCATATTTTTGGTATCCACAAGAAAATTTGCATCACAGTATGATTTGGTTTTTTTTTCTTTATCAAGCTGAATCATTCTTTAATTCTGCACTTCAGTTGCTTTTTGATTTATTACATCAAACGGGCCATTATCACATGGAGTATTATGTTTATTGAGATCCCAGATCTTACCTTATGAAAATACTTTATTTGCAGCCCAGTTATTAATAGTATCTTGTATTTCTCTATACTGATTAATTTTTTAAAGCATTGTCTCTCCTGCCTTGTGTTTCCTAAGGGTGTGTATTAGGTTGTCAGAGAACATTTGTGCTTTACTGCCTTGCCATGCCAGGTTTTACTGGGGTATAAAACTATGGTCATAATTGTCCTCTACAGAGAGAAAAGTGAGAAGAGGGATTCATGTGTATTTTCCTTCCAGGTAGTGGATATAAATATAAAAATCTGTGTTCACCAGGCAGGAGCTCACCCAGTGTTAATTTACACTGAACTCTGAAGTTGATGAAACACAATTGTTGTTTCCAGGCTTATGTAAGGTCACATTTGCTGTTGTTTTTTTTAAGGGATATTAATGGTTCCATAAATTGTGGTTCAAGCATAGTCCTAGTTTTCTGTATCTAACTTGTGAAGAATAAAGGAAACAGCAGCACTGCAAAATCAGAGCTGAGGCTTCACTCTTTAGAAGCAAGTTTGAGCTACTCTTGGTTCTTCTTCCTGACAGACTTTGAACTATATGTAGGACTCCTAGCTCTCAGCAGATTCTAGAGAAAAAAACTGTCTGGTTCATCTGATCCTACGTAAAACCTCTGTAATATGACCTTTTGCAGTAACTTTAAAGGTGTTAACTTGTTCTGCTTCGGGATAATGGATGGACTAAATATTCTTTTTGAAATCCTGAGTGTAGGAATGCTGGGAGTTACTGTTGTGAACACAGCTGTGAAGATCACTGCCATGTGCAGCAGGGAGCTTGTCTGCTGACCTCCAAACAGGAATTCCTTCTGCTCTGTGTAATTCCTTGTCTGATAACTCTGTGAGCACAGATCTGGCTGTGAAGGTCACATTTGCTGGGACTGCAGTGCTGCAAATTGTGCCATTCCTGATTTTCTGTGACAGTGCAGTTGTGACCAGATGTGGTGGTCATCAAATGAGGGTGTTCAGGGACTCAGGCTCTGTTGAGGTGTGTTTTGTTCTGTTTGTGTTTTAACCAAAACCCTTCTTAGACCTGTGGGTTGCAGTGTTTCTGCTCCTCTCAGGAGTTCATTGTCATAATAAATGTTCCTTTTGTGTCCCAAGTCCTCCCAAATGAGTGTGAGTTAGTGTGTGTTCTGCCTGTGCAGCATCCACAGAATCCAGGGTTCCAGTGTTTAGAGCTTTCTGTATGTTCAGACAAGTGTTGACTGACAATCCTGTGAGCATCACGTTGAGCAGAGTGATGGGAGGGTCAGGAGGTACCACGGGGGATGTGGCTCAGAGCTGAGGAAGGGGCAGGCCTAGGGAAGGATGCGTGGAAACACCAGTGTGTTCCCTCCTTGTCCTACCAGTTGGGATTTTTCTCTTGGATTTCCAAGTGCCTCGTTTCTGTTGCTGCCTCTTCTTTGTTGTACAGGAATTGTTCTGTTATGAAGCTGTAAAGGTGTCCAGCTGCCTATTTTGGGGAGTTAGGAAGGAGTGTGTCCACTCATAGTAAACCAGTCCCACAGGGAACTCTGAGGTTCTTTGCTTTCCTTGTGGTGTTCACCAAGTGTGAGTGTTGTGAAAAAAACTGGGATTGGAAACCCAAGTTAAGACAACAGTCAGTGACCTTCAGTCACACCATGAAAAGTTGTGGGAAGCTCTCAAGTGAACTGTGTCCTATCACAGGCTAAGATGCCTCCTCCCAGAATCTTCATTCACTGGTGTGAGGACAGGATAATGGATGTTCAAGTCGTGTGTTCAATATTTGTTTGACAGGATGCTCTCATGGAGAGTTTCAAATTAAATTAAAAAGCGTCCCCACACTCCACATTTGCTTTTTTATTTCCCTTTGGAAAAGTTACTGGAGTCAGTTGAGGCTCTTCTCTCTAGAAATGCAAGATGTCAGGGAGATTTCAGGTTGCTGCAGTTGGCTGGTGTGCAGCAGTGCTGTAGAGGAGCACACTGGTAGGTGGCACTGACACCCACACATCTCTGTTACTGCTTTTTTTTTTTCCCTTTTATTCCTTCTATTGCTTTTTTTTCTCACCTGCAAAAAAAATCAGCTGTTGAAAGTTTATTATGCTAATATTGGATTATTCTTAGTGTTGGCATGAACATGACTGAACCTTTCTGACATCAGCCTTGTTTGCATTTGGATAAACTATGTTTGTAAAATCAGGAATGTGCTTTTGTTCTGTACCAAGCCGAGGGTATCTGTGGTAGTGAAAATCTGTAAATTATTGTAGGAAGTTGCATTCTACACTTCTTGAGGAAAAATTATTACGTAGGATCAGGTTGCTGCAGTGTGTTCTGCAGCCCCAGCCTGAAGCTTTCCCTTGATTTCCCTCTAAGCAGGACAGAGCTGAGCTCGTACAAATTGTTGTACGGCCACTGAGGTGGATTGAGCCATCCCAGCTGGAACTGCATGTGCTCTGCTGTGGGCTTTGTTACAGCTGGAACACAGAGAATTCCTAACCAGCTCATTCCCAGCGTTGGGCAGATGTGGTGTTAAACCTTTTCCATGCACTCACCAAGGCTGCATTCAAACCTTGGCAAGATCAAATTTTAGTGTATCCAGGCCTGGGGGCATGGTAATACTAATCCTCACTGTAGTTCTCCTATAAAATTGAAAAATATTCAACACTCCAGCTTTAAGAAAACCTGCTTTTCCTAAGTGTTATCTGATAACATCTTCATTGCTAGAATTTGTGAGTACTGATTTTATTTTTATTTGTGTTTTTTTGTTTGTTTGTTTTGTTGTTTGTTTTTTTTTTTTTATTCCTTCTTTCCAGCTTACTGAGGCAGGTTCAGGTATCAACTGCTTGGACTCCATGTGCTGCTTCTCAGATGGGGAAACAGCATGCACACCTGTTAGAAGAATGTTGGAACGACTAATGGGAAGATGTAGCCCAACCCGGGTCAACAGGTGTGGCATTTCTCTCAATAGCCTTTGCTGCAGACGATTCTCCTATAAACTGGAACCCGATGAGCCTGCAGCAATAGATGTCTAGAAATTAGCTGCAGGTTTTGCTTACCTAAGTAGGAGATGCAACTCTTTATTGTACTTCTTTTCATCCTAAAAAAAAAAAAAAAAAAATTAGTTTCTTGTTTCTTTTTGAGTGGTTTCCTTTGGGATGGGGAGGGGGGAAAACGGTTTTCGAAAGATTTCTGTTAAAGTGTTTAGTTTGGCTTTACTACAAGTTCTTGTGTTGTATCTATCGTAATTTCTCTTGATTTGTACATTCTTCTCTTTAGAAAATCAGGCCTTGCTGCTGTTTTTGTTCTCCTTTTTATGATTTTTTTTTTTTTTTGCCTTCACGAATCAGGAGTTGTTTGTAAAATCAAAAGCCTTTTCCCTTTGGTTCTGGATGTACAACCTCCAAATATTTACCTTGGAGCTTGAATTACTCCTGAAGATATACAAAAGGCTCACACTCCCCCCCTTAAATATAACTTCATTGTTAGAAGGAGAGTCTTTAAATCTTTCAGCCATTGATTGATATTAAGATGAAATATTTTTGTAGTTTAACTTTTATAAGCTATTTCTAAAGTCAGAGTAATTGACAGAACAGAGTCTTCAGGTTCTAAGAATTTTAAGTGGTTTTTTTCGGTTCTAGAAGGTATATTGTCAAAATCATGTGTGCCATTCCAAAGTATGTGCTAAATAAATCTTTCCTTCACAAACCACGTGTGAAACAAACATCAGTGGGATAAAAGCACGTTGGAGTCATGAAATATCTTCTAAAGAGCAATACTGCTCTTCTGGTCAGAATAACTGTGAGAGGAGCTCTCACTGAATCCCCGAATGTGCCATCTCCCCACGTCCAAATAGAGGGATAGTGAACAAACATGGAAATATTTGGGGGTAGAAGTAAAAACAGTCTTTTGTACATCGTAATCTCTCAGTCCCTGAATGATATCATGGTCCTTCACTGGTCAAAAGGCAAACCTGAAAACACTGAGCTTCACACATTTTCAAGGGAACTCATTTTGTGTTTGGACAACTTTGTCTCTTTCTGTTAAAGGTTGTGATATCATTCACTGGGCATCAAGCCTTGTGTGGGTAATTTCCACTGACAGCTTTGTCAGCTCTGATTCTGCCTTTAGGTATTGCCTGGTCTGTAGCTCATCTCTGTTGGAACTCTTGTGTTGAACGCTGTGTGTCTGTGGTTTCAGTCAGTCTCTCTCTTCTGGCTTGCTTATGAAATTTATTCAATGTTTCTTCGAACCTAGGGTATGAATATGCAAAATGTTTCATTCCATATGAAAAATGAACTGTTATGATTAAGTACATTTTTAATTCAAACTTGCTGTATAGAAAGCGGGCATGATGTGTAAAATAAACAGTTTAATAGAATTTTTAATCTGCAAGGTGAGCATTTAATTGGTCTAAAAATCAACATTTTGGTAGCAGTTGCTCTAAGTTTTTTGGTGTTTTTTTTCTACTTCTCTGTAAAACTGTGCTTTCCAAATGAGGAATTGCTCATGCTACTTCTTTTTCATTTATTGTTACCTAATTAAGATTTTTAGTTAACAATTGCCTTAGTAACCTATAGTCTTATAAGGTAGGTATTCTGTGTTTTATTTAATGCATTTACAGTTTTCCAGTTTTCTCTTTTGTTCCACTTAAATTTTCTTTCCTTAAGAACTTACAAATATTTATTGAAGACAACTCATATTTGACAGAATATTAAACACTCTTTGGAGACTGCTTTTTCTCAGGTTTCTTGTCTGCTTACCTCATGTAATTTTCCAGTGAAGTTCCATCAAGCCAAATAATTGTAGAGTTCTTAGAACACAGACAATAGCGTTATGTTTAATGAATATGCAAAACTATCTTGGTGCTACACTAAGGGCTTGAAGTTCTGTGGGTTTTGCTGCTGCCTCCGGTTGAAATTGCTCTGAACAATCTTTTAGTTTCACTTGAATTTATGTACAATACAACTAGAAAAGAGGTGGGGTTTTTTTAAGTCTGTCAAACTTGTTTTTTTCAACAACTTCAGCTTCTTCCACTCAGCCCTGACACTTAAAACCAAGGCTAAAAGTCAGGTTTTTCCCTTACACTTTTGTGGTAATATAAGAAAGTCTTTGTTCATTTTTTAACATATTAATTGCTTAAATCACTTGAAGCAGTTACAAGTTGTGAAGTGCTGAAGGTACAGTTAAGAAATCTGTAGGCTTTGTTCATGAGCTTGAGCTGCTTCGTTTTGTATCTAAATCTTCAGAAAATTGTGCAGGACTCAACAGGATGGTCTCTTGAGCACTTGTACTGTGTAAAGCAGCAAATTATTCAACCAGGAGGTAGCTGCAAATTGTTTCTGTTGAATGAAGTGATGCTGATAAATACGTTTTCTGTGCAAGTGCTGTAGAATGAAGAGCACTACTTTAAATAATGTTGCTGTAGCAGCTTGCGTTGTATTCTGTGCTCCTGATATTCTGTCAAATATGATAACTGAACATGAAATCCAACATGGTATCAAATTTTGATAGAAGCTTTGATGAATCAAAGTTGTACAAATGCTTGGAGTAGTGGGCCACAGGAGTATAGTTCTCTTGTGTTGAATTTACTGCTTGTAAAATGTATTTGAGAAGTATTTTCTATAGCTCCATTCACCAGTTAGAATATAAAATGTGTGGTGTGGTATGTTAAAAAATGCATTTTTGTCTGTCTGTTCCATTAAATTGTCTGTCAGCTTGTCAGTCACTCAGATATTAAGAATGCTGGATCACATTTCTTGTACAGTGGGATTCATTGCTGAATTGTCGGATCTCCCATTAGTGGTACTTGTGTCAAGGCACTGCATGTAACAGTTGTAACGAAACAGCAGATTTCTGACAGAGGCTAATTTGGAGGATAAGTTCATTATGTTTTGACTTCCTGCCTCCCAGCCTTCTGTTTTTCAGCATTTCACATACAATTTTCATAACATTGTTCAACCAAGAACAGTATTTCTTCCCAAGCAGTAATTTGTCCTCAGGTGAAAGACATTGTGAGACCCCCACCTCAGTCAGAAGCTGTGACGTCTTAGGTAGTTTTCCTGGTGTCTTAAAACTTAACAGTAAAAGGGATGAAGCAGATTCATGGCTGTGGATCAGTTTTGCCTGCCCACAGCCCCAGGCAGTGTGGATGTTTCCCGCTGGGACACGGCTGTGCTGGATTTCCAGGGATCACTGTGTACCACAGGGCTCTGCTGGAATGGCCTCAGTGTACCCAAGGCAGCATTCAGAGTCTCCCTGAGGCACAGCACTGAAACTTCATTGGCAAAAGGGGCATGTAAACCTCTGGCTGTTTTAGTTCATAGCGATGGAAATATCCGTGGCTGTGAGTAAATTGTTCATTACGCAGCAGACATTGAGCTGGCATCTGTTCTCAAAGGTCTGAATGAACTGTAGGTGCCTACATGAAATCAGTAGATTAGTCTTTTTAAGAGGTTCATTTGCCTAACCTCGTAGCACTTCTATCCTTTGCTTTCCTAGACTTTTCTCCTCACCTCTATAGAGTGAAAGTTCCCAGTCAGCCAAACTTTTCTTTTATTGTTACTTTAGATCGTGGAGTTCCTCGGATCCCTTCTATGCCAACGACAGAAGCATCTTGACTCTCTCCACAATGGACTCAGCCACTTGTTGACAGGGACATTTGTAGATGCCTTGTGGATGCCATGTGGTGCTCACACACCTGTAGGTTCTGAGGCGAGTCCAGTGTCCGTCGCTGCCCTAGGAAAGAGTAGGAGTGACTCCTGAGCACAGACCTTGTCTGTGGTCTGGCATGTCATCTGCACAGCAATTGCTTCCAGTATTTTTTTCTAATTATATCTACAAATTGCTAAATAATTTTTTTGGAGGTAAGGAATGCTTTTTACCTCTGACCATTTGATCTTTTTTTGTTACCGTATGAGCAGATTGGAATCCTGAATTTGATACTTGAGACGTCACTGTAGCGCAATGACAGAATCTTTCTCCTCCCAAATTTGAGTGATCCAATTTGAATCAACTTGAATATGCACAATGGAAGTTTTAAAAGTTGTGGGTTTTTTACGATGACCCTTCCGTTTAAACACACACATTAATATTGGGCTGTGTCTCAGATGCTGTCTTAGCAGTTTGCAGATCAATTTTTTTATTTCTGTGGACAGTTACCATATTCTGTGAGCAATCAGTTTAGTAATTTTTGAGAGTTAAATGCAATTCAAATATTTATGCTGGTGTATGAGTGGCAGTACAGTAGTCATTGCTTTGAAAAATGCTGTTAACTGTGACAAATCAATAATTTGGAATACTAAGGCATATAACAGTTCACTGTTTTCTTAAAGTATAATTCAGAAGCCAGTCATCTTTTATTATGCCACGTGTGGGTTTTTTAACAGTTCTGGATCCTGACATTGAAAAATGTTTTAAGAATTGGTGGATTGTGCAGAAGTCTCACTAGCATAAATTTTTTGAATTATTAATCTTTTAAAGTTGGGGAATTTTTTGCGTGTTTTGTTCTTCTTCATGTATTTATATTTGGTCATGTTGTACTTTGGAGATATAATTAATGCTTAATTATCTTCGTATATCGGAAGGATCCGAGACCTCGATGGCAATGTTTTGATACCCGAGTATGCCAATAAAAGCAAATTGCACAGTTGGAGGTTTGAATGGTGCATCTTGCAGGTACTTCTGTTGTCCCAGTATAGACATGTCTGCAGGCTTGGGGCTGGGCAGCAGCAACATTTGCCTATTCCTTCAGCCAGGACGGTTGTCTTTGGAAGTGGGAGGTGAAATGGAAGTGCTGCCACAGGGATGGCTGCAGAGAACTGCCTGGGGCACAGTGGGGTTTGTGGCTGGAGGCAGGTGAAAGTGCTGCTGCTTTGGGACATCCCGTTTGGAGTCAGTCTCTGACACCGAGTCCCATCAATAATTTCAGTATTGTCCCTGTCAGGCAGTTAAAGATGTAAAGCTGTGTATTTAAAATTAACTCGGGGTAGAATAAACTGTAAATCAAACACTGACTGTAAGTAACACCAGAACTTCTTCAGTAAAGGTGTGGGGAAGGGTAGGGTTGGGACAAAGCCGCTTTCCCCCTGCCTGGCTGAGTTGCTGCCATTGCCCTCAGTGCTGCCATTTCACAGCAAATCCTTTGTATTCCATCATTCAGGAGGAACATCCCACCCTCCTGGTGACATCTCAGTGGGGCCTGGGCTGCTGCCAGAGGAGTGTATCCCTCCTTCTAAAATCCCTCATCCCAAATTCTCCCAAGTTCAATGAGGAGAGGGAGTGCTGAAGAGGTCCCACTCCTTGGATCAGATCCTTTGCATGTGCCTTATCTAAAAGCAGCTCTGCTGTTAATTACTCCTGTTTGTGACTTTAACTGGTATTATTTCAGCTCTCATCTTGGAGCTTTATTTTTGCATTAGTGATTGACAGCTTCACTCCGAGCTGAATGCTGTGGGTACTGTGGGGTTTTCCAACATCTCAGTGCTCAAGGCAACATTTGTGTACTAAAGAAATTGTCATTGCAACCTTGTTGTTAAACTCATAGTGCCTTGAATGTGCAGCACACGAGGGTTTTGTCCCAGTGTTATAGATAAAGACCAATTCACAATTTAGGAAGCTCTGAAAATAAATTACAAAACAGAAGAAACAAAATACAGCAGATTTTCCTTTTAAGCAAACGTTAATTCAGCGCTCATAGCTCATTTCTGTATCGTGTCTTCAGATGCTTGAGTGCAGTGAAGCTTGAGCTTGACAATGTCAGGTGTACAGCAGTTCCCCCCCAGCGAGTGTCCAGGTGATGAGGAAACACTAAAACAGCCTTGCCTTCTCTGTGCAGCAGGTATGAACATGTGACTCACCCCCCTGCAGTCAGCTTGAAACCTGGATCCAGTGCAGAGGTGCAATAAGCTGATTGTTGTGTCTCCAGTCCCCAAAAAACCTTATCCAGATATGCACTAGTAGCAAAATACACTTGGATTTCACCTACCCCTGTAATTTTATATTTGATATCCATAATATTAAACTTGGGTTTAAAATAATTTCCTTCGTAGCAGTTCCTCATTCTCAAGAGTCTTCCCACTGCCACGGTTACCTAGGAAATGCAGAGTTACGTGCTCTCATCAGATATCTGCTGTTTAGCTGTCTCTCTTACACCTAAATCACAGTGTTCCACCTTTCAGCAGTGCCTGTTTGTCCGTGTCACCCACAGCATTGTCCCGTCAGTGTGTGTGACTGTGTGACCTCATCCATCCGTGTGGCTCGTGTGTCCTGGACCAGAACACAGACTGGGGGTTAACTTTGTGCAGTAGGAAGCAGAGGCCTTGTACGGCCCCACTCCAAGCATTTCCACTGGCTCAGCTCTGGGGGTGATGTATTTTGGCTTTTACCACACAAATGTGTTGATTATATTTGCACAAAAGCAGCACGGTCCTATATTTGAAGAATAATTTACATTCATTATGTGTTTCTTTAAAACCTTCCATCTCCTCCCCTCCCTTCCCCCCCTCCTTTCCCTCTTCCCAGTGTTTGTAAGGTTACCGAAGAAACATGCATTTAAACAATTAAGGAGGAACTTAAGAATCCATCTGTCTGCCAAGGTATATTTTTCTATTTGCAGTAAATCTAAGTCACTAATGTCTCATTCAGAGCATAGACACGGTTTGCATTAGAGCAGATTTTTTGCTGTGACAAATACTTTGGATGGAAGAAGTGACTGGGGTTTTGTGTTGATGTCACAAAGCTTTTAAAAACGCTTCTATTCAAGGAAGAAGGACTTTGTGTATTTCTTTGACAGCTGAAGTGTAGGAAACCATTCACTGTGCATTGGGCACGGTGCAGAATCCTTCGTGGAGAAGCCAGAACAAAATCCAGCTAATTCGGTGTAACGCTGGCAATCGTCCCGAGTCAGAGCGGGACGGGGTGGGGGACAATTTGCCACGGGGAGGAAATGTCTTATTATTCTCCCTTAGCCTTGAAATCCATAAAAGCCTGCAGGAGGTGTTTGTAGTTCAGAGCAGGAGTGGTGTACACTCTGCTTTACTATGCAGTGTCTCTGAAGAAGCACCTTCTCCACGGCCCCTCCCAAATGGGATTGCGTTCCCAACAGGTCAGTTCTCGTTCTGGGAAAAACAGGGTTTGGTTTTGTTAATTAGGAAAACATAATCTTAGTTGCCAAGCTTAAGCTTTTAAAAGGATGCGGTGGAAAAGACTTCAGTGGGAAGGTGTTTTGAGTTGTTTCACAAACTAAAATGTAAATATTCTGCTTAAAAGTATTCTGTATAGTTTTTAAGGTTACAGGTGGGGAGGGGGGAACAAAAACTGCAAAGGAAGGAATCCTGAAATCTTGGGCTTTATATTTTCAGAGTGATTTATTGTTTTCGAGTGCAAAAGGTAATTTGAGAAAAGCTCATGCAATTTAGAATGCATATTAGGCAACTACAGTTTCTTACTGAAAACCTTTGGTAGTACTTTCAAACATGTTTTTTATGACAGTGTAACTTCTATATAATTGGAATAAAATATCATTTTCCAGTGATAGAGGTGTCTCAAAGCTGTAGTCCAAATTTTTTTTCATAGTTTGATACTTCTGTACTTCTAAGGAGTTGTGATTTTGGCGAAATTCAGTGTTAAAGTGCTCAAGCATAATATGTGCTTCTGAACCATTTATTTTTGAGCTACTTTGGGATTCTCATTTTTTGGGTGTAGAATCCCTAATAACTCGCCATCATCGCTGGACTCACCACTGCCTTGTTTGTTACACGGATGTCCCTGCTTACCGTTGTTCCTCGAACTGGGCAAACCACTCACTAGGGACTAATTTTAGCCTTTACTCTGCTCCTAAATTAGTTCCCAGCTAGACTCTCTTCTTTGCAGATCTGGGTTGGGTTTGGTTTGGTTTTTTTTTTTTTTTTCTGCAAACATTTTTACTGTTGGTTGTTCTGTACGTTCTTTGCTTCTGTTGTTTGCTTCCAGCGGCATGATTTGTCTGGGTTCTGCTCTCTGGGAATGCCTCAGTTTGTAACAGGAGGAGGAGGAGGAGAGAACGCGATGCTCGTGGCTCTTATCAGCTCTTGCCATCAGTCGTCTTAGCAGCGCATTTGCATCGGTATTTGCGAGGCTTCTGCTTGCCGTAGATTTTTTTTTTTTCCTTCAGCTCGATCCTGCTCCCGGAGGCATCGGGACTGTCCCGGCGGGGAGCGCGGGTGGTGCTGGTTGAAGGGATGTTCCCGTCGCTCCCGGGCTCCGGCCGCGCTGCCCTCGGTCGGTCCCGTCATCGCTGCAGAGGGGCCGCGGTGGTTTCCAGGCTGTAAATGCACCGATGTGAGCGGAGGGGCCCTGGGCCGAAGCTGTGCCTGCAACGCGATGAAATGAACGTCATGCTGTTTGTGGCACAGAGTGGGACTTGTCTGAAAGAAACCCTGGCCTGGCCTGGGGTTGGGGGGGTGGATTAATTTTTCCTCAGCAGGTTAAAGGAAATTACTTCATCCATCAGCAGGTTCTCAACCTTTTTGCATTTTGACAACGGGCTAAAAGATAATCTCTGGGGGAAATGGTTAAAAATGAGTCTCACCTTGCTGCAGGAGTATCTTATTTTTATCTCAAAGAACAGATTTTACAATTCCTAGTTGCAGTCCCACGAGAGATTTCGGGTCCTATGCATACAAAAACAACAGACCATCTCATCTCCTGTTTTTTCACTGAAGTGTGATCAAGTTCTGCCTTTCTGAGGAAGAAAAAAAAAACTGGAATGATAAAATCTCTGCAAGAAGTACTGTTTGAAAGATGTTGATCCTTAGTTTTAGGCAAATAAAGGGCATTGCCAACTGGAAACTAGCAATAATTAGTACAAAGAATTTTGGACCTCTGACACTGTGGCTGCCTCATGTTGGTTTTGCTCCTCTGACAGCGAGGCTGTGTGCTTGCTCCTTGTACAGCTTGGTCAGTAGAAGTTGTTTTGGAAATGGTTTATGAAAATTATATTTATTAAATAAAACTTTCACTTCTAGCCGAGTCATTGTTTTAATTATGTGTTAGAGGAGAATATGGCAGCGTTAAGCCAGGCTTGCTGTGCCACAGGACCTGGATCAGTCAGTAAATGTAGTCCCAGCAGTCTCAGGCTGGAGAGAAATCTACCAGGAAGAAAAGCAAAGCAAAACCAACCCCCCCCCCAGCTTTCCACAGACACCCACCCTTACACCCCCCCACAGCTGTGTGTGCTGGGGGATGCAGGGGTGCCCCTCCAGCAGCTGAGCTCAAATCAGCTGACCCAGGAACCCGCTGGCCCTGCCTGGAGCCCACCATGAGGTGATCGGTGATGAATTCCAGCCTGGATGTCATTCCCATTTCTCCAGCAGCAAATGTAACCCAGCGGTCACTCAGCTGCCCAACCACAGCCTGCTCCTCTCCACACACAACCTTTACAGCCCCAGCATTTCCCACCCTCTCAGGTTCCTGGTCCTGCTTTGATTTACAGGAGTCCCTCTGCCAGTTGTCCTTTGAACTCTGAGGATGGCTTAGAATGTTACATTATGAACACATACAATTTGAATGTAGAAAAGGAGGAGTTTTAATTTTCTTGCAAAATCTTCAAATTACATTCAGGCAGTTTTTGTTAAGTCTGAGAACCTGAAGACCATTTAGCAGAAGAACTTCCAGTTTACATGCTCAGACTGGGGCCTGGAGTTACAGGTGCCTGTTAAAACTGTCAGAGCAAAATTCCTGATCTTTACTCAAGCAGATACTTCTACTCATTGGTACTGAACCAGCTACAGTTCTACAAAGCTTAGGCCTATTCCTGCTAAATGAAATTATAATTTCATTAAGTATTTAATGCTGTGCCAAGGGCACCACGGTTTAAAAAACCCAAACACAGTCACTGTCCCATACTCAAACAAAATCTACAGAGACTTCTGGCAACAGTATTTAAATAAAGCGTGAATGACAAAAGTTTATTAAATGCATTCTTAAAAAAATTAGATCTTTCTTAAATAAGGATTTCTCAGCATGGATTTCATTGTAAAACAGTTTTGAAGCAAGTCATAAGTTACTTATTAACAGGTCGATTAAAAAAAAAGTCACTTCACTACTGTAGGAGGGTCTTCAGCCCCATTTAAACCACTGCAGTGTGTGGTGTCTTCCTTCACATGCAAGGGAATGGCAGTGCCGAGGGCTGGGAACACCGGCTCCGAGGGGACTCGTAAACATGGACAACAAGCAGTAGGCAAGGTGTTGCAGCAGTTTTTAGATTATTTTTCCCCAAAAAGAAAAAAAAAAAAACTTACCACAAAACTCTATTTTTTGCAGAAATATTCCATGCTTCCCCCCCCCCCCTTAAAAGAGCATTCCAGAAATAAATCTTACAAATAATACACTGAAACAATGCAGGAGAAGCCTCAGTCATGGCAATTTCACTGGAGCTTTATTGCCTCTGTTGGTAATGAGAGGGATTGTAAGAAGTTACATTTGAACTTACAGAGATATGTAAATGACGTTTTTTTTACTAAATATAATCTCAAGATTAAGTGTTTTATATCAGGGCACTTCTAATTTTGCACATATTTAATGTATAAAAACAGGTTACAAACTTGATGGTTTTGCCTTTTTTTTTTTTTTTTNAACAACACCCTGTTAAATCAATGTTTCTTTCAACTTCAGTCATTTTGAAAAACTTTTTAAGATGCCATGATAGCACAAATAACCCCTTTTCTGCAACATAATAAGTCGAAGTTTTATGTATTTCTTTATAATTACACAGTAATTATAAGCATGTAGTACCAAACTGATGACAACACTATTTTGTTGAAAAGATCTTGCATTCAAAAGGAATAGTCTTTAAAACACCACGGCATTTCGCCACTGCCCAATCTCAGACTTTTTGGAGGCACAAGTCTGCATTGGGATAAAAAGCAAGTCAGTTCTCCTCTCCAAACACAGCAATACTTGAACTAATCAATCTGAAACGGTACCAAAACCCTCAAGACAGAAAACAGCACGCAGAGATAACCTTGTCGAGCTTTTTTCCACCCCACCCACCCCCTTAATTTCAAGTCCCCGTTTATATTTACACAAAAGGAAATACTGAAAGCAGCAAAACACACAGTTTTTGGCATAGCCAATTCCAGTAGCTGGAGCAAGTTTGCAATGGTTTTGTGGAGCTGTATTTTTGGAATAAATGCACAAGTGGATTTGCTAAAAGGGGAGCCAGCCCTAAGGGCAACGTCTGGGACTACAAATAAAAAATTTTCATCCGTTTAATGTTTCTCAATTTTTCCCTAAAATACTTTTAGCATCTGCATAAAAGTGTGCTGCTGTTTAGTGCAAGTACCAATGACTCATCTCAAAAATAATTCTGGCCTTATCACGGCACTATTCAGAGCACAAACTCAACCCTCTCTCCTCACTTGTAACTCCGGTCTGTCTCCTCTCCTGGAGCTTCTTTTACAGAGCAGGATTTACCAAACCTCTTCACAAGTCACTAAGTGAGGAGTAAAAGACCCCAAAAGCAGCTCAAGAGTTCTTGTAATATTAAAGAATAATTGCAGCTGATACAACCTGCTTTGAACCAAATGAACTTGATTTAGTCAAACACAGTAGGACAGTAAGAAGTAGTGATCAACAAAATAATTTAAACAAACAAAGCCAGTGTAGTAGTTTGTATCTGATCTGTGCTTGTTTGGGAAAGCTTTACTCTTAATTTCTGTATTTGGCAACCACAGTGATATGTCAATTTAAGGAAAACTCAACAAAATAACTGAAAAAAGGGTGTCATCCGTAACGGCAGTACCTCTATGTTACAAAGATTTACCTTACTTATCAGGATAATGGTTTCAAAACCCAGATTCACATCAAACTCACCAGTTTCTTGTACAACAGGGCCATTTGCTTCATCATACCTCAACCATAAAAGTTACACATCTCAATTTAAAATACTGTATTGTGTAGCAAACAGTTAAGACACAAATTCAGTATATTCAAGTTTTCGATTTCCACAGAAATGAAAAACCTTTCTCTGACAGACAGATAAGCATTTCAGAACTGCAGTGAAATCTGGTTTCTCAGACAGTAACCTAGGGAATATTGGATGCCATGAGGACACACACAGCTCATCCCACTGATGCCACTGAGCGCTCTGACATCGCACGAGGGTGGCTGTAAGTGCACAGAGTTGTGTCGTAGCTCAGCTGCCCTCACAGCCAGCTGGGACACGATCAAACCAGGCAGGGAGGCACCCAGAGAGCCCAGGAACAACCACCTTGGGATTTCTGGCTTAGTTCTGCGTTTTTGTTTTTTTTCCAGATACTCAAACTCACTTAGACAATACCTGCACTTATCCAGAAAAGAAAAGAACTCGGACCCAGGACACTTAAATATATCACTCTTGCAGGAAGTGCTCTCAGTACAGTCTTTGCAACCAGCCCCAAGTGTATATTTAAGGAGATTCTTTGAAAAATGGTTTCGATGTTGATCTGTATAATTCAGATGCCGTACAACAGTTGTCTGATGATGACCAGCATTGTGCTTTATGTGAAACCAGAAACCTCAAAATAATTATAAAGCTTCTAGGACTTATGGGAGATGAAACTAGGGTGATCCACCAACAAAAAAATTAATCCATGATGAAATCCACAATGTTGGAATTTTAACGGGCAAGAGTGGTCCAGACTAGAAGAAAAGCCCAAACCACCAGGAGAAGAATGAAATATGATATGGTCCAAGATGTATCCTTAAAGGTTTGTCTCAACCCTCAGCCACATCGTGAGGATTGATCTTCAGTTCAGTCCAGCCAGCAGAAATTGACTGTGCAATTTTCCATTTCAGGTATTTGTACAGACTATGTACACTCTAGAAGGGTCCTTTAGTGCTACACTGTCGTACTTTTTGTCCCAGCAATTTGAGGGCGTGCAAATTCCACAAAGTCATCAATAAGAACCGGCCAAGCCCCTAAAAGATAAAAACACCAGAACGTAAGAACCCTGTTCAACAAGCCACTCTTTTAAAAAAGCTTCAGTTCCAAATAAGCTCTTTACTTTCCAGTCTTAAACCAGGCAGAGTTTCTGGAAAAAAAAAAAAAAAAAAAAAAAAAAAAATTTGATTTTCTTGCTTGAAATTTAAGAGCTGGTTAAAGATTTCTACTTCCTTTAAACCCACTCAATACACATCTCTTTCAAAGGACGTCTTCCTGACCAAATAAAACAAAAAAATTCCACTCCCATAAAAAAAGCCAACCTGACAATGGCACTAGGACTCCAACTTGACCTGCAGGATGGCAGTAGCTGCTTAAGGAGTGCTGAACACTGGATGGAGCAGCAGCATAACAGAGCATTCTACAGCATCTACTGCTCACAGCGTGGTTTGCATGAATGCAAAGCTCATCACCTCCTAGAACCAGCACACTCAGCCACACCTGAGCACAGCCAAGCACACCCTGGCAGTCTGATACCCCAGAAGGCTCCTGTTACACTCCATACACCCCTCCAACATTCCTTCCCAGGAGGCCCTTGAAATACAGAACAATATTTCCCACACTATGGGCAGCCATAACCAGAGAGGCCCCAGTCTTGCACATGATGGTCACATGAAGGTTAAAAATAATCACGAGTGGGGTTTTGGTGGGTTTTTTTTCTCCTTCAGATATTTTTATTTCAAATCATTCCAACATATTTACTGCCTTTAGTCTTTCTAAGTGACACAGATTGACTGCAGGCAGCAGCATTCTCCCGATGACAGGAGAATGAGAACTGTCCACAATTACTAGATGAAGTTGTAGAGGTTTGCTCCCCTCTGCTCTGGAGGTATCCCAAGTTTACAGTTTCCTCCCCTCAGTGAACTGATGTGCTGCCAAGCACTGAGGGTGATCAGCTGTTCTTGGCTACAGATGGGACTGAGGGAGGACAGATCGATACAGAAGTTTACAAGAAACACATTTGGTAGGAAGTGACTTCTGCTCAGAAATCCCTGTGTGCTGCCAGCTTCACTTCCGTATCCTTGCATGGCCAACCCTCCCATGAACTGAGACAAAAAACATTCCCAGCTTCGAAATGCAGTAACCAGAGGACCCTACACAGAACTGCCTGGGCCGTGGGTCAGTTCCTTGGATGAAGATGCCCAGAACTGCTCCCACCGACAGAGAATTCACGGGTTTCAAAGGCACAAATATCAGGGTTGGTCTCAGTGAGACAGAATTTGTGTCTGAGCTCAGACAGAGGAACAAAAGAAAATGGATTCTAGGAAAGTTTCAGCATTTCTTTTTTAAACCTGCAGTAAACAAACAGATGTTTACAACATGCATTAAAGCAGCTCTGACTGGGCTTTAGATCACTGGGGACATTGTAATTGTGCTGTTATTAGACAGCTGTGCCAAAGCAGACACACGTTAATGAATGTAGCATAAAACACAGTTAGAAGGTAATGAAAGAAAATGGAAATGTTTACCTTCCTCATCATAGTTAGACATATCATCTGCTATCATTGTACTAAAGTCTAGAAGAAGGTTCCAGGTATCCTTAGGAATTGATCTTTTATGATGTTCCTGTTCAGAGGGGTAGAAAATTTATATTTTTAAAAAATAAATTAAAACCCTATTACACATTCATTTTTACTGTCTTGGACACATCCATATCCCCAAAACATATTTCTCTAGTACATGCTATGAATAACTGGGATTTGGGTCAAGACAGTCTATTTCATCTACTTGATAATTTAAACATGTTTATCTCCCAAGTTCTGAAAATACTGCAATCCAGCTTATGTAAAGATTTAAACTTACCAACAAAAATTTGTTCCACAAGTCTAGAAATTTAAATCTTCCATTAAGTACTAAATTCCAGTAGGCAATGGCCATTTCTAAATCTGTAATATTAAAATATATTACTTTTAGAGATATACATATCAAATATATAATCTCCTCAAGTATCTAACACCAGGATGAACTATATATTCATAAAGGTGAAAAGATTAAACTAATGCAAATATACTCATGGATCCTTCACAAAAAGGAACCATAAATAAAGTGTTACACAACTATTTTAGATTTTTATGCTATTCCTTGAATATAGAACCGAAAATTCCCTGTATTAATATCTAACATACCCAAAACACACAAGGACATTTCATGTGCCTTTTGCTATACAGCAACACATCATTAAAAATCAGAGAAATATTTTTGGTTTAGAAATGTTACTGACGTGAAAAGAAAATTTGCAGTATTTTGTAGTGAGGTCTGCCTTAATTTTTTTCTTACATACATAAAATACAATTTACATAAAACTGGCCTTTCATAATTTCATTTTTAGAGTAACCTTATTACAGGTGCTGCCTTTGTAACATGGCTTTTGTCAAGTGCTCATTTCTGCAGTAAGATTTCTCTTAGGGGGGGGGGAAATCTTGAAGTAGTGTCTTTAGGCAGACAGACAGCTGATGGCGTTTGTTGCTGGCATTGTTTTGGTGGGCTGGTTTTGGTTTTGTTTTGGGATGTTTTGTTGGTGGCTTAGGGTATTTTTTGATTGTTTTGGGTTTTTTCTGCTGTTTGTTGGGAGTCTCTGCGTGTTGCTTTTTTTGTTGTTTGTTTTGTTTTTTTCCCCCGAAGATTCCTGTTTAATTTCTGCTTGCTTGGAATCAGTTTCTCAGGACAGCTGAGATATCTGCCCTGACCCATTTCAGAGCAGCCCCTCAGGCCCCAGGTGCTGTTAGGAGGACAGCAGTTAAAAAATGAGCCTGGTTAGTCTGGCATGGAAGGGAAAAGAAAGACAACTCCCCTCCCTGGCACATGCCAAGGGCTAAACTGACATGCATTTACTGTTTAGTAGTGGCAGACAGTACCTTGTTAGCTGACAAAGGCAATTTAGAACCCAGGTATGTAACTCTGTGCCCACTGTCACCTGCGTTACCAGGAATTACCAGCAATTCCTCTGTGCTGCACAACAAAACACTCCTCACTGTGAATTCCCAAAGTCAGCATCCTTAGCCAAGTACATACAGTGACCCCAAAAGGCTGCCCATGTAAGTGGCCTCTTTGTTTAAAAAAAGCTCTTATATATTTTGCACTCTCCCGAATTTGTTCCATGAACAATCCTCTTGTGAAAGAAAATGCACGGGATCAACTGCACCTCAAGAGAAAAGAAAAAAAAAAAACCCAAACCAACAACCCAACACCACCACTCCCTTCCCCCAGGATGCCCAAATACTTTAAAAAACCGAGGGAGGCAGATCTTGGAGATGAAATCAACAGCAAACAAAACAAAGCATGAAATCTGCACTGCTGAAGGGAAAATAGAATGGTGATTGTGAGTTTCTGAACTGTTTAATATCTGATATTAAAAGTTCTTTTCAAACAGCAGAGCCACATTAGAATGCTTCTGAATAAAATTCAGGAAGGGTTTTCCAGCAACTGCAAAGGGGTTTCAGTGATTTCAGACCAAAGTGTAAGTCTGAGCCTCGAGAAGCAGAGACAGATTAGAAAGACAGTCACTACCCCTCGGTAAATAAGCTGTGTGTGAAAACGGCAAACATAATTCACGACTGCAAAGGTTTGGCATCTCTCTTTAACAGAAGATTCAGATACAAAAACATGCATTTTAGCTCTCAGCTAAAACTACTGTCTTTCTAAAAATTAACAGATACAAACTTCAGATGGAGCTGGATCAGTTCCTCGAGGAGACAGATTAGAAAACTAAGTTTTATTTACCTGTGCTGCATTAATGGTGTGCACACAGAAATGCAAGGTCTGAACAGTGATTTGTAAGCAATCCCTATAAACAAACTGTGCATTTTGACATGTTTATAGAAATTTGAGATAATTCTTGTGGGTAAGCACAGGCTATTAAAAAAATCTCAGGATACTGCAACCTCAAACTCACTATATGAGTAGACACAATGCCTTGGGACAAACTACGTGTTTGGAAAGAAATTTTATGGAATAACAAAATTGGAAGTTAAAGATATAGGTTTTACAGGTTTTCATAAATGTAAGAATGCTCAGGAAAATCCTCATGGATCAAACAGGAAAGCCTCCAAGTATTTACTCCATTTTGAGTTCTGCCCAGAGACATGCAAGAGAAGCAAACAGTGTTTGAGATGAACATCAGCTACAAGGTGTTCTCCAATGATATCCAAAAATCACAAGAACTTTTGAGACATCCACAGTACTAAGGAATTATGCAAAGGAAATACATTTCCAGAACTGTGCCTGAACTACAGCACAATGTTTGCAAGATTAGAGACTAATATACATTAAAATCAATTTGCAAGTTCCTACAAGCAGTTATTTAGACACACCAAAATGAATTGCCTAACTAGGAGCACTTACTTTGCAGCACTGTACTTCTCCCAGTATTCTTTTCCTTCAGGGTTTCCAGAATTACTCTGCCCTGTTGTAAATTCATGCCTAGAACTGTGTATTTATGAGCACCAAAAGGGCTGGTAAGCATCCAGATTTTAAGCTCAGTTCTACATCACTTCCAGACCCAGACTTGGAAACAAAAGCATTCAGAAAACCCACCTTATACTCTGTATGTGCTATGTGGATCGGAGAAAACTACACTTTATCACTCTTAAGAGCTTAACCTGCACAAAGAAGCTTTATGATGAATGAGAAATAAAGCAAGGGAATTAAGTTTTCCCGGTAAGTCATTTTTATGGAAGTCTGTTCCATCTGGGACACTCAACAGGTTTACTTCTATGCAGGACTTGGGAGGGATTCAGAAAAGGAATGCAAGTCTTCCTTACACCTTAGAAATATGGAAAAGAAAATAAAAGGTACGTACTAAATCAAAGAGTTCTGTTATTTTGAAGCTTTGAGAAAACTAAGTAAAAAGGGTCATGTAATTATGGTATCGTTGCAATCTGTTCATTTTTACCACCCTACAGGGAATGTACAAAATGCTCCTGGTTGTGTAAAGCTGTTTAAAGATTGAAAACAACATATAGATGTTCCAAGGGCAACCATAAAGAAAAATAATCGAAGAACAAAACCCTGCAACCATTCATACTGCAGGACAAACTCTACACTGACACTTTCCACATCCTAACATCTACCTTCCCACATTTTCCGTGTTGTAGCAGCCTAAAAGAAATTAATCTTTGTACAAGACATAAGAATCAGCCCATTCATCTCCTTGCATGATTCAGACCTGACTACAAGCATGCACAAGTATTTTCCTACTCCTTCACAGTGCTCTTAAGCTTCTTCAAAGACAATGAAATTCACAATCCAATTGAAAACAAAAAACAAGGTACAGAAAGATGTTAAACAATGACGCAGCTGAAACCAAGACACAGAGTTTTTGCTTATTTACTTATTTTAGGCCAAAAGTTGGTCCATCTATAAAAGCCAATAAAACTAAAGCAGAAGGCTCATCTTTACCCAGCCTGTGAGTACAAAGCCATGGCGGTTTTCTGTGGCAGTTTTAGAGCATTTTCTTTACTGAGGAAAACAAACTCACAGGTTGCCAAGGAAGAAAGTACCCGTCCTTCAGTGTTTTACATTTTCTCAAAAGCAGAGCAGTTAAGAAGTTAACAGCTACAGCATCATGAAATTCTAGTTTATGGCTGATACTTCAATTACACTGTATATAAATTAATGTGCATTCTGGCTTTTTAACAATACTGCTCGAAAGAAATTTTTGTTCCCTCATTTTTGAGTAGACAGAGCTCCAGTTTTTCAATCAGTTCCATCTGAACTGTGATGTTCTGAAATTATTTTTAATAAGTGACTCTTCCACTTCACCTGTTACACTAACCAAAAAAACAGTCAGCATATGAGCCCTGAAATAAGAAAGGATTCAGTGAAGTGAAGGGAGAGAAAAAAGCTGTAAGAAGACACCTATTACCAACAGCATAAAAACAGGTATCAGGCTCAGGATCCAGTAATCCATTTGTACTATTCCAATTCTATTTTGCCAAGACCCTTGCAAGCATTTTTTGGTGTTGCAAGAGACTGCACAAGTGTGCTTAAATAGGTTTTACAGCTTCAATTTATCCTAAAAGTAAAAATTCAATTAATCTGTTCAGTGATGCAAATTCTAAGTTGTGCAATTATGTCTTTAATGTAAGACCATAATCCCTTGTGCTCACTGAGAACTGCACACACACAGTGAAAGAGTAAACTCTCTCTCCTAAAATTTTGTAGCCTTTATTAATGATGCAAACATTTCTCTCAATTTGAACACCTTAAACTGACATCTATCTTTCACAACACAGAGACGTATTTTATCCCAGGGGTGATTACCTTTCAGACTCACTGGATCACAATAATACATTCACTTCCTGCTCTAATCAGTCATTTCCTATATTTATGAACAAATGTTTATGATTAAGAATACGTACCTAAACCTTTCTGTCCCGGGTTCTTTGCAAAGTTGAAAGTAAACTGATAAAAATCCTTAAATCTTCCTGGCTCTTTTAATTCTTGTTCCATTTTAGGAATCTGGGCCTTCAGTTTTTCTATGCTGTCACATCTGCAGTTTAAGAAGCACGTTTATTCACGAATTACTCATTTTACCATAAAAACATGACTTATAAACAAAAATCTATGAACTGTTTGTGGAACACAATTATCAAAACAAAACTCAGGATGCTTTCATGAGTCTGCACCCATGCAGCGATATTTCATTTCTTTGTTGTTATTTCTTCACGTTACATTTGCACACACTACCTGATGCGTCAGATCCTGTAATCCACAAGATTTTTACAAAAATGTGATAAAGAGAAAACCCAGGTATGCCTGACTGCAAACCAACATCCCTGCTTTATCTCCCTGAGCAGCTCCAACTGCCCGGAATGCTCACACAACCAAGGCCAGGGGCACTCAAAGCTCCCTCCCTTTTTCCCCACAGATCCAGCACACAGACAGCAGACGCATTTTTAGAGAGGCAGACAAGTGATGCTGGACTCTCAAAAGTCTCTGAGAGGGCAGCGCGACTGAGAACTCCCCAAAACAGGACCCTGGATCACCTCATCTAACACTTCTTGAACACTTACCCCAGCTCAGTCATTCCGTCCATGAATTCCAGCTTGGAGAACTCGCACTGCGTTGCAGCTCGGAATTTCCATGCAATGATGAGAACGGTAATGCTGGCTGGGTCAAGAGCTAGATCATCACAGAACTGCTGTATACCATCTATACCAATTTTATTTTCATCTTGAGGATCTTTGGGACATAAAAGTAAGCATCAAGAAAAAAACAGGTATTTGAAAAAGCCAATTTGCTCAATTTAAGATAAGGAAACTTTTTCGAGAAGCCATTTTGGGGATCAGCCTTTGTAAGCGAGTATTTCAAAAACAAAATTAAATTAGTGTTCTCAATGGTTAAGCTTTAACAATTGAGGCAGTTACTGCAATAAAGCCTCCCATACAATGAAGCTCATGTTATTTTCACTGAGAGACAAAAAAAGCACCACAAACATTTGTTTTCTGCCTAATACTATGCATGATATTCTGACTCATTCCACACAGAGCACAGTGGTTCTCTCCCCCCAGGACACTCAATTATTGGCATCTCTGGTAAGGCTGATGATCTGTGTTCCATTATTAGCAGTTGTGCAGTGTCCCTTAGCAAGCTGTACTAATACCCAAATCTGCCCATCAACCACTGCCCCAAACTGTAGTTTTATGCATTTCCTGGCACCACCAGCATGCAGGAGGTCGGACAGGGTAACCTCCAAGGGGAAGTTACGCTGCCCCGTTACCGATGATTCCAAGTCAGCCAGCCACACTCCTCTTTCCACGAAGGAATCAACATCTGGTCTGGAAGTGAGATACTCATATTTCAACTGCACTAACAAAGATCTACTAATGCAAGCCAACAAAGACTTCAGGAAAATGGTATTTGGATTATGCACACATATGAAAACTGACAGAAAACACAGCACTCAGATTCCTTCCAAGTGCTAAAACACAGGATTTGTCCTACTGCACTGAATCCACTGTACTATTTCTGGGACGGTATCAACGGTTCAACACTGGCCATGTTTTCTGTTACACTCTGTTTGTAATTATTTGATAATAAGCACAAGGTGAATAAAAATTAAGGTAGAACTCACCCCTGGTATGCTATCCTTCATTTTGTCAGGATCAAGTCCTGAATGATGTGATTTCCCCAAAAGAATCACGTGAAATCCTCACTAACCACTACAATTTCTCACTGCACACACAATTCCAGCTCCAGACCCTCATCTTGTGTAAATGTACTTACACTTGGAGCACATAAAGCACCTGCATGTAATCCCTGTGAAGCAGAAGCCTACACATATTCCCCTTCCAATTTGTATTATCAATAATAGAGAAACAAAGCTGAAAGAGTCAGTTAAGATTTCCCAGCACAGGAGCACAGCAGCACTAATCCACTGTAATTACTATAGACATACAACAAGGAAATAAGCCTTGAAATTCAGGGTACTCACCTTTGTATCTGTTATATAGTTGTTCTAACTTCTTTCTGTCCAATGATCCTTTAACACTCTCTCGTATATAAAGTTCAGGATTTTGGAAAAAGTTGTCTGTTGCAACATCTAACTTCCAGTCATTCTGAGAGAGACAACTCACTGCTGTCTTTTCACTGGATTGTGTGAAGACCATAAACTGACGCACCTTATCCTTCTGTGATGATTTCAACTTGTTCTAGTGAAAACAGACGATACTGTAAATAGAAATATTTACTGGAAGAAAAAAGCAAATAAATGAAAAAGCAGTCCTATGTTTTTTTAAATCACGACTTCTATAATTTTCCCAAGCGATTAGGATATCAAAATATCTGATGAGCTGGCTCCAAGGCTGGGGCAGAGCAGGCTGTTGAACAGCTCACCATCACTGAGCAGGAGGCTGGTGTCCATTTGCTCCCAGCAGGACCAGGGTCAGTCCTGGCACAGGATCTCCTGAAGTGCCTCTTGATGGCAACACGGGACTAGGCTGGGCCATCCAGTTCAGGGAGCTACACACTGAAATACCCTAAAGACTTTTTTTTTTTTTTTAGTAAGAGATTTTTCACATTGAAAGTCCTCAACTCCACCTACATAATTTGCAAAACATTCCTGTGAGGAGGCATTGTCTCCATTTCACAGGTGCAGCAACCGAAGCTAAAGAAAAAAAAAAAAAAAAAAAAAAAAAGGGCAGGGAACTCTGCCGCGGGCAGGGGAGTTGAGTAGCCAAGGTGAGAGCTCTGGAATTCCAGGCCTCCTGCCCAGAGCCAGAGACATCCATCCCTCTGCTCTAGCACAGAACTGCTGCCAGCAACTGATCGGCACAGAGGGATTCCCGAGGACGTTTCTGATGAGGAGAAGCACACGCAGCATTTCAAGGGTATGAGTTAAACAAAACCAAGTGCTGATCAGGAGAGAGCAACCACACTGAGCTACATCCTGATTCAGTCCTGAAGTTCACTCAATACAGTCAAAGCAAACTCCCAACACTACAACTTGGTAAACAGAAGTTCTGACAAAATTTTAAGTCAGCATTGGACTTCTTACATGGTGCAAATATTTAATTTCCAGTTTACCTTGTATTCTAACCCAAACTTGCATGTTCTGTTCATTGTGTAATTTCCATGGCTCCTTCTCAAGGAGTATGGGGAAAAAGGACAAAGAAAATCCCAAGACATGACAAACTATCCTCAGCCAAAAAATGAATGGTTTAGGAGCAGAATGAGCTCTAGCTCTTCATTCCAAAGGGTAACTTGTGTCCAAGCACATTATCACTAAAACAAAGAATTAATGCTTCAGAACACAAATTCATCTGTCCTAAAAGTCAGATATAGTTTTCTGTGGCTTGATAACAATGAGTGTGAACACTATTATCTGTAAGAATAGTGAAATTACCAGCTTCAGGGTTATACCATTAAAAAAAAAATACAAGAGCATCACATCTGGTTTAAACTGATACCCACATAATACATTGAAGACACCAATACCCTTTAAGTTCCCTTTAAAAAAAACAAAAAATGCCCCCCTAAACCAAACCCACCCTACATCTTCAGCACTTTGCTGAAGCCAAAATTTTAGCTCATGCTGCAAACTTAACACAGTGATATTAGTTAGGCTACATCATTTTTAAAGTTACGATGTGTTGCTGCTTTAATTCAGTCTTTTGAACAACCTTCTGGATCTTTTACTACAAACACGTTTCTGAAACTCAGATTTTCCAGAGCGGTTCCAGGTAAAGGCCAGGCCAGGAGAGCAGTTCCTGAGCAGCCCCAGTGCTGCCTGTCTGTGCACTCTTGGCTCCACAACAGACACTCAGCACCTCACAAAGTGAGCTCAGAGCTCCCCAAAATCACTGCGCTGACAAATCCACGTGGAACGACTTCCAGAAATGACTATTCCGTTTTTAGCTGCAGTTTTTAAAAATGTATTGTAAGCTTAGAACTATGAAAACAAACCTTTGAATGAAATCCCAAACGAAGATGAAACAATCCCAAATTTAATGTCCTCTATCAATTACCAGCTTCCTCTCATCGGTTCCACAGAGCCAGACTGCTGCATCACCAGGCTCAGCTGCACTACAGGGCAGTCACACTTAATTACCTTAGCTTTTATTTTCTTTTTCTTTTTGCCTTTCTTTTTTACTTTTTTTTTTTTTTTTAAACAAAGCTCGTGCCTTTAATCATTAGGTTTTTGTTGGTTTGGTGTTTTTTTTTTTTTAACATGCACAGGTAAATACGCACAGACCTTTTAATGGTGAGTTTTCTGTAAAGCCTCAAGAGACTTTGTTCTGCCCTGCTGCTGGCAAGGGTGAACTCTAAAAGCAGTGACATACCACTAAAAGTCATGGAAAAGGTTTGAAAGGGATTCACTGACGATGCTCAGGACCACAAAAGGTGGTGTGTTTCGCATGTTGTCACAAAAGGAGAATGCAATTCATTACCAAAAATTGCAGCTTAAATCCCTTTAATGATAACCTTTAAATCCTACATATGCACATGACCTTTTCCCGTGCTTGGGGCTCCCGAAGTTCATCGTAACAACATAAAACCTTTTCAAAAGATCAAAAGTGCCAAGACTCAAGCAGCTAATTACACTAACCAGTACAGCATTTGGTAGTATATTAAGATGCAATAAATCACACTATTCAGCCATAATCTTTTTCTGGAATAATCATATTTTTGCTGGTCAAATATGAGTTTATTTTTAGTAAGGAAGTGCCAAAGCCCTTTTGCTGTATTTGATGAATGTTTCCACAGCAGCTCCATATCCTCAGTGACTGGACACTCTTCCAAGGCCCACTACAGGACAGCAAGGGGTGGAATTACTGCTGAGTTTTTATTATCCCATTATAGCTCTTCCTTCAGCACATTAAAAACCCACACTTCAAGCAGGAACAGGTTCCAAACCTTCTGCACTTTTAAGGACTATTTCTAGAAGCCGAGTGCTAACAGTCTGTTATTGTTTTAAGTACAACACAGCAGTCAGAGCACCCCACAACCTTTAATTCTACAGTCATCAGGCAACAAATACCTTACACTGCAATTGTAAGGCACTGTAATGCAACTCAATCCACTTAAAACATCTCAACTTTAACACCAGCTGAAAAGACAGAATTTTATTTAACAGATATCCGTCTTGCTCATATATACAAATAAAAACCAACGGAAAACAAATAAAACAAATTCCTAGTCTTACTCTTTGGGTTAGGGGTAAAAGGAAAAATTCAGATTTTCAAGCCTTTGATCAAATCTGTGTGGTACCCAAGCTACCTTTCATAACACAGATGTCACAAGAGAGAGAAGGTGACCTTACTTTTCAAATACAGAGTAACTTCTCCAAATGAAAAGCTGCATTATGCAGATTAATAAAACTACACTAATGCTAATGAACATCTGATTCTACAACAGCAATTTTAAAATTAAAATCTTCCCCTTACCATGAAGTACCAAGTTTGAATATTCTAACTCAATAACCTTTCCTTGATCAGATACTTCAGTGAGAGATTACAAATTTAAAAAACAAAACAAAACAAAACACCTTGGGCTTTTATTTCTCTACAGAACAAGAAATGCTGGAACTGATCTACCAACTCTGATCACAACACTGTTTTTCCGTATCTTTACACTCAGTTTTTAGTCAGCTCAGATTTCAATATCAGCTCTGCACACTGCTCAACAACATTTTCTGGATAGCTGATGTCCAAACGAGGGCTCCACTCTCCTGGATAATGTCCATGGGAAAGAACAACGACCTTCATCCCACACTGCCTGGGCTGGAGAGCTGGGAATCCCTGCCCAGAACCTGCTCCTGGACTTTGCTCTAAGGTCACACGTGCACCACCCGGACAGGCAGTGCACGATCAGTTCTGCTGCCCCAAATTGCTCCCGGCCCCCAAAGAAGGCATTCACACAGTCACTCCAGTGACTGCCTTCCACCCTTCCCTTCCCAGGCATCAATACAGCTGATCCCATTCCTGCTATTCACTGCTAACTCAGGGAATCTGCACGATGTGACATCTGCGCTTTTGTTTCAGGCAGGACTCAAAGAAAAGCCTGTTAAGTTCTCACACACGTGACAGGTAAAAGCCTTTTCTAAAATAGTATCAACCTCCACCAAGTCTAGGCCTTTGTACTGCCTGCATTTAAACTCCAGCCAGAGCTCTGGCTGCGGGAAGCATCCCTGCACTTCCTAAGGACCCCACTGACGTCAGGTCAATCCCGGAGTGACACCAGCCCGCACACCACGGGCTCGGCATCGCGGAACCTCACCCGACTCCAGCGCTGTCGAGGCTTTATGCGGCACTAATGGTCAGGAAAACATCCCCCACAGCGCCCGAATCGCTCCACCTCGGGCCGTATCCATTAAAGGACACGACAAGACACCTGCAGATAGCCCCGTTTACTGCTTGTACTCATAAATACACGGCTAAAGCCTAAATGGCAAAACAGGGAGCGTTTTTGTTTGATAAGAAAACAAAAGTTAATCACAACAGAAATCTGTGAATACACTGGAGTGCATTTTAATCCACCAAGTGTGATGGCACACATGTATACTACCAAAAAAAAAAAAAATCTCAGTTAAAGACAAAACAATTAAAGTAGATAGCCGTAGTTTCTGCACAATGTAAACAAACATGTCCTTTAACTATATTTTATTTTCCAAAGCAGTTTCTCTACGAAGTAAGACAATCAGGACATTTTTAAGCTTCAAGTTTCAAACAGATGGGAAATCCATTTGTCTGCAGTGGAACAGAGTAAAATCTAAACATTTACAAAGTCTGCTGAGATACAAAACCCAAGGCAAAAATCACAAGCAACATAAAATTAAAGTTCCTTTTTACACCTTCCAATGTTCTTTCAGTGGATAAAATCATTTTAGTATCTGCATGCAGGCAGAATGTCAATATACAGCCACACAGAAGACTGCAGAAGATGTAGTGGTAATTCACATTTACCTGAACAGTGAAGGAAACACCAAAAATCATGGCTTTTCCAAATAAAAAAGGACAAAATAAAGCAGTCAGTTGTTTAGCATTCTTAGCTCTGGTCTGGGGCACAAGCTCTATTCAGCCCTTAGAAGCTGCATTCATACCATCTATTTGCATTGGCACCATAAAACATCAGTAAAATATCAAGAGCTACATAATAAATTTCACACCTTGTTCTCAGAGTAGTTCATATTTCTGAATAATTTTTTCATGGCTCTAGTTAAAAGTGATTTTACAGCTTTAGTTCAAAGGGATCTCTAGTAAGCTAAGAGAGGAAACAAGATCATGCACCATCTTGTCTAGCACTTACTTAGACTGCTCTAAGTGCAATGCCAAGAATCTACAAGTTTTACTACGGGACACCAAACCCCAAAATATTTAATATCAACAAACTGCTACAGACATGAATATGCACCACAGAAAATAGCCCTGCAGAACAGCCTGTTGAGTTAAACACTGCATAACAATGTCATGAAGTACAATAACATTACAGGAGACAGCGTCATCTGACATGGAATTCTTGCAATATTGAATTTTACAACTTCCTGTCAGCTGAGGTTTACAGTAAGAAATTAAGTATTTATCGGCATAGAAATATTCTTCAGAGAACACAAATTGGATAATATGATAAATAATGTACACAGAGACAAGGTTAGCATTCAGCTCTGGATATAGATATGGATTCTCACAAACTTGCCTGGGGTATCACACATAGTCCTAAATTCCTTAAATTATTCAGAATAGTACAGGTAGTAGCTCTTCTCCTCACAGAAGATGGCCTAGAGTAAAATGGACCAGCCTACTGCTCTGCCTTGATTTGTGGGCACAGCACGTCCTCATGATGAGGTGAAGCAGTAACACCCTAACAGGGAAGGACACCACTTCCACAGGAGCTGCTCAGCCAGCTCCAAAGAGTGGGTGACAGAGGCAGACTGCCTCAGCAATCCCAGCCACACTGCCAGGGTGTCCCTGAGCGCTGGACAGAAACTCTGTGCAAGTTCCCTAAAAGGCCAGAGTGAGCCCACCAGGCTGTGGGGTGTCCCTTGCAGATACGCACACAGGCAGTTCTAAGGCAGGAAGCCTCAGCTCTGACAGCACTGGCCATTTGGGCACTGGTGAGACCAAGTGAGGGCCAGCACTGCTCCAACTGGCAGTGCTACAGAGGCAAGAAGAGCCAGGCCCCAAACCATAACAGCATTTACTATGCTGGACAAGTTACCTGGCCCCAGGAACCACACACAGCCACTGGAAGGACGAGCCAGAGCAGTAGGGCACAAGGGCAGGAAAATGGGACACCTTTGGATCTCTGTGAAGAAGTCTCCCTACCTCTCTCCTAACCAAGGAGAGGATTTTGACATACCACAAGCAGAGGTACAGAATCCTGTGCCCAGGCACTAGAAACAATCCTGTATTTAGTACTTCTACAAGCTGCAGCCTGTCATTTAGCTCCACTTCAGCGCCTATGTCATCCTTTCACCCGGGTGTTGGAGTCACAGTTGTTTGCACAGGGCTGAACAACTCTGCTCAGGGCCATGACTGGAGTATCCACCTTCTCCCTCCAGTCTGATGAATACCAATCCATCAGTATAGAACTGCTACACAGAACAGGGCTGCTGGTTCTTCAGTTTAGTGTTTCCAAGAAGACCAAGCACGAGATAGGATTCTGCTGTTTCTCACAAAAAGCTATTCTCAGAATAACGTCCCTCACTATTTCTGTAACTTGGCCACTTGCTACAGCATTGTTCAATTTAAATTTCTAACCACGTAGCCAGGCAATAAAATATGCATGTACAAGACATCAACAGTGTATTTACTTTGCATACCTACACTAGATACACTGTGAGACAGCTCTAGGTAATTTTTATGGAAAAAAGTATTCATAAAGAGTTGTGTTAACGTTACTGTGTAAGTGCTATTTGAGACAGTCCCAGACCTGAAGAATTACAGTAAGACACCTTTACCCACTCTTAAGCTCTCATAAAAAACGCAAGTGAACATCTACATCAAAATATTCAATTAAAAATTACACTAGTAACACAGTGACAAGTTTATTAGAGGTCTCCACACCACTAATTTAAATGCTGGCTAACCAAATTTTTATGCCAACGTAACTCCATCAATTAAAGGTGACACTGTAATTTTTTTAATATGTTTTTAACACAACTTGACAGAATAGTATTAACAGCAGGTGTAAGATATCCTTATACCAGCAAATGTACACCAGTAGATCTTAAGACTCCCTCCTACACCCTTCCTAAGACAATACTGCTGCTATAGAAAAGTACTAATTTAAACTGTACAGGTGCAGCTAAAGCTGTACAACGTTTGTATACAGAGAAGGCTTAGAAGTACAACTATAAACTTGTTCCATCTGCTGCAGAGACACTGTGCAAGAAACCAACAAGGACCCCTCTTATTTAAAGCAAAAGAACGTATTTTTCTTTTGTTTAGACAAACAAAAATAGTGAATTTTGTTCCAACCACTGCGGTTTCCCTCTAGAAGAGGGAAGAGAGAAAGTCAGTTGATTTGGGAGTCCACGGCAAATCCTCACCTACAATGAAAGCAATATTACAGAGAAAATGCAAGAGAGGCCTTTACAAGGTCCCAAGACCTTCACTGGGAAGACCTTTGCAAGGTCCTCCTTTACAACACTTCTGTGAATAGGAGCCTCCCCAAAACAGAAGAACAATTATCCAAAAATTCTCCAACATAACCCCAGCCTAAGGAGCATCAACACGCCCAAGTTTTCCCCGCGAACCGACAGCACTTAATGGGCTCTGAGCCGCCCGAAATCCTGAGGAAAAACCCCAGGCAGCCCCCGGCTCCTGGCAGCCCCCTGCTCTCCCTCCCAGCGCTGCCGCGGGCACGGGGCAGGCTCGGGGCACACACACCGCGCTGCCCAGCTCGGCTGCCCCGCGCCGTCCCTTCGGCGGGGCTGAGCCCTCGCACCAGGTGCCAGCGCGCCCCTCCCGCCGTGCGGGGCCTCCGGAGGCCTGGGCGGGATCCCGGCGCCCCCCGCTCAGGCCCCTGCCCGGAGCAGCCCCCGCCGCGCTCCCCGTGGCCCCGGCGCGCCCTCCCGGCCCTGCCCGGCGGGAGGACGCGGAACCCCCGACCCGGCACATCGTGCCGGGCTGCGGAGCCCCCGCACCGGCGCCTCGGCCGCTCCCGGGCACCCAGCGCGCCACGAGCAGGCCCCGCTGCCCCCGGCCGGCCCCGAGGCGCCGCGCCGGGCCGGGAGCGGCCTCAGGCGGGCGCTCACCATGGTGGGGGCTGTGCGGGCCTCTCCCCTCCCGGCTCGGGCGGACTCTGAGGGCGGCGGCGGCGCTTCCTCCGGCGGCGGCGGCTCCGGCTCCTCACGGGCCCTTCCGCCGCCTTCCCCCGCTCATGCGCAGTGCGGGCCGGGAGCCCTGGCGGGGGCCGGCCCGTCCCGCTGTGCCCGCAGCGCCGGCAGCGGACGGAGCTCCGGGCTGAGGGGGGGGCACCGCACCGGGGGCTCGGCCCGGGGAGGGAAGCGGAGAGTCCCCCCCCAGCCGTCTGGGGATGTCGGGGGCGGGCTCGGAGGGGGCAGCCGGGGGTGGGAGGTCCCAGCGGCTCCTCACACCGGCACCGGGTGTTCTGTCGGGAAAGCTCCTTGTACGTTCTTATTTCTTCAATATCAAGAGTTAAGGGTCAGGTGCGAGCGCCTGTGCCGGCCCCGCCGGGCTCCGGGTCGTGGCCGCCGTTCCTGGGGGGCCTGGGCTTGGAAATGGGGCGAGATGGGAAAATCCCTCGGGCCTTCCCGGATGGATTCGCGAGGGAGGCTGAGGGACGTTTGCGGAGCAGCCACGGAGACCGGGGGACTGCGAGGCCTCGGAGCAGCACCTTTCGGGCATCTTCGTACGGGAGCGCCTCCACACCTGTAAGATCTCCCTGATTTCCCTGCTCCTGGCTGGGATGCCCTTTGGGCGCTGTGGACAGATGCAGCCCTTCAGATCTACTGTCAAAAGAGGCTGCAGTGGTTAAATCACAGTTTGTACCAGCATCCCAGACAGTTGTTTGTTTCCCAGGAAAGCTTACTCTACCTACCGCAGGCTTTTGGCAGCTGAAGAAGTTTGGGGAAGCAGAATATTTGCTGATAAAACTCACAGCAGTGGCAAACTGCTGTTGTGAAGGACAAAGGTTTGAGATCTGATCTTATTCTCTCATCTCCTGCTGAGCTGGGAGCTGTTAAAGTAAGCTTCTGTATTTATATTACATGACTGCTATGACTGCACACACTAGAAGGAAATTAAGACTTAAAAAAAACATTCCTCATCATGGATGTTCAGGGTTCATATGTGTATTTTTATAGAAAGGGGTCTAATTTGCTACTTGCTTACTTTGTTAAAAATCAAAGAAAAGCTTAGATGGAGTGTGAGGAGTTAAATCGTGTTTGCTGGGGAAAATCAGGCCTGTCCTGTGAAGTGTCCAGTTGTGCTAGTGTTCTGAAACAGGAAAATTGTCTGGATATTAAACATATGGAAATAAGTGTGAATGCAGCTATCCTGAGAGACTGAAGTTGCCTTCATACCTTGACCCCTCCCAAAAAGCATGGTTTTGAAACTGAGGATGGTTGCAGAGTGGCCAGTGCGAACAGCCACGAACACTCGCACACCAGCCCAGTCCATGTGAACCATGGCAGAGGAAGCAAAGCCAAACCTGAAAATCTATCTCATCAGGTTACCTAATTGCCATCACTGTGACATGCTGTGACAGCCCTCCTGCGATCTGGAGACACGGTTTAGACCTTCTGGAAAATTATTGCGACATGTAACAATAAACTGAGAGACGGGCTGTGATTGCAGTGGATTCCTCAGGGCAGAGACAGGATTTTTAAGTGGCTTATTTTTCCCTAATGCCTGCGAGCCTTGCTGCTTTTCTGTATTGAAGAGTCTCTTGGTGGGTTTTTGGAGTGTCTGGCGGCACGCTGTGTTTGCCTTTAGTTTTTTGACTGACTTGTGCTTTGATCTCCCTAACTTACTAAATCCCTCTATATTATGAATTCCCATTGTGTAAGGTATGGAAAATCATACTTAACTGCTTCTAAGCAGGGCAGATAAAAAGATGATTCAGTGATATGAAGGTGAAATATAAAAAAAATATGTGAAATGCAGATTGATGCTATTCCCACTGTGCATGCTACTGGTTTGTGATTTTTTTTTTTCCTGTTTAAGTTCACTTATAAGGTGAAACTGTACCTGAGAGGCCACCAAAAAGTGTATTTGTTCATATTCAGAGTAAGGTGTCTGAATGGGGCTTGTTTCGGGTTCCCTTTTGTACAGCTCCCTGCAGGATGAACCCCAGGTCAGGGCAGGGACACCCAGCTCTGCTGCTTGTAAACATGACACGTGCACCCCGTGATACAGAGTAGAAGGAAATATTCATTGTGCAATCTGCAGGCAGCATAATCACTGTGATCACACTAACATGATGACTTGTTTAATTTATTTTAAGGCTGACACGCTTGCCTTGTTTTGCTGTGTGGGCCAATGATGTTTTATCATCTCATGTGAACCCTGGGAGAACCAGGCAATGATCTTTTTTTAAATCCAAGTGTGTCAAATGCATAACTCTGAATATTACATTGAGCTGCTTTACCCAGACAGAGGAGCAAGTCTCGTGTTTAGTCAGTGCAGAATCTATTTAGTGTAATCTCCTTGCTGAGAACTTCCACTTACAGCACTTTCTGAGGAAGAGGCCCAAAGCTTTATGAAGTGTAACAGTAACCTGGGACAGCTTGGCCTGGAAATGTCTTTCTAACCCCCACATCTTTTTGTCAGCTACTTTATGCACTAAAAAGTGAAACCATGAATTCATCTTACACTGATGTGGCAGTCATACAGTGGTTATGACTGAGGCCCTTTGCCTGCAAACTGCCCACATGTTTAACCAAGAGAACAAAGTCCCATGAACTGTCCTGCAGAAGGAGATTTAACGCCACTCTAAAGGCATGAAGTTCCTTGGCATCCACAGGTACGGACCCAATGGTCTGCTCTGTTTTGCTGTTCAGCTGGTACAGACGGAATGTCCTTATCAGCCCATAATGGTTTTTTCTCTGCTCTGAAAGAAGCACAGAGGAAGTAAACAGTGTGAGTCCTCCTGTAGGTGTCTGAGCAATTCAAGGTGCAAAGTGACACCACCAATATCAGAAGATTGTTAATAGGTTGCAAGGAAGGGTGTTTACCTTCTATTAAGTTTTTCATCCTTCCTGCATTACACAAGAGGTTAACAAGTTACTACACCCAGTCCAAGGCACTGCTAGGAGCCACGTTCCACATGACAGTGTCTCTGGGAGGGAGCAGGACAGATTATTGAGACAAAGGAAGCAAAGTCAGGTCAGTGAGCCTGAGAAAGTCTGAACATTTCTCATATCCTGGCAGGCATGAATAAACTGCAACTTTCCAGGACACCTAAAAGACAACAGGATGCAGGACTTCTGGGTTTTGGTTTTTAACTCACTAATACTGAGATACATATACTAAAATCTAGGCATTTCACGTAATATGGATTAAGAAATGAAGAGCAGTAAGACATAGCAGGTTGATTTTTATGAGATATAGACATTTTTTAGTTCAGAACTTCTGTAAAACAAGGTATGATCTTTTGTAGCCAGATTGGTTTGAAATTTCCCAAGCTGTAATCCAGACAGTGCCATCACAACTTCAAGATTAAAACCTACACCTTTTAACTGTAAGCAGCTTTCCCTTCTCACTACCAAGAATTACGGCTGATTCCAAGATTTTAGGAGACTGAGACACACTTATTTCCCTATCCCAGTGATTTTCTGTATGTTCCATCTTTAGTTGTGCTATTTAGTAAAAATAAGCCATCCCAATTCAGAGCACAGATTTTGATATTAATATACAAAACAGTAATTTAAGTTGCATATATGGGAGGTAGAGCCTTTTGCCTTGGAGGTAGGCAGACTGCAGGAGTAATGCAGACGTACAAAGTAAGGGTAGTAAGATGACTCCTGTCATACATGTCACAGGCATTTAGCCATTTCCAGTCCTCTCACTGTCCAGCAAACTGGTTTTGTGGATCCTGTTTACACAACCCAGCCAGTTCTCCTACCTAAGCAGCAAATTGAAACCTCCATGCCCACGCCTGGCTATCAGCATCAATACAGTGGGGCAGACTTCAAGGAAAACATTGCATTAACCACATCTGTATATAACAGTTCTGGGTTTAAATTGGTTCATTCTAGTTCATGTTTTATCTCATTTTACAACTCCGTAGAGCAGGAGCTGTGTCTTACGTTTCTGGGATGCTGAACGGGACACTGGGCAGGCCTGGGGTCTTTGGCTGGAGTTACCACATCAATACTGATCACTGAGTGTTCCTGTGCGTGCCAAGGCAGGACAGGACAGCCCAGAAGAAGATACCTCTTCCCTTTTCAGAGAGGCAAAGGAGGGATGCAGCTCTCAGCAGCAGTCTTTTTCACCAAACACTCTTTGGAGCTTTGCTGACTTCAGTACTTAACAACTCCCGGTTTCCCTGCTTTTTTAAGTGAGTAGGTTGGCTGCCATTCACAGAGACCAATTACCATTTCAAGAGCAACTTTTTGGCACCAGAACTATTTATATGGAAAATAGCCTGTCATGGTTTAACCCAAGGCAGCAGCTGAGTCCCATGCAGCTGCTCACTCACATCCAGTGGGATGGGGAAAGAAGGAAAAAGCGTTCTGCTGCCTTATAGCTTGATGGCTTTAGCGTACACTGTGCACAGGTATCTCCTACAGCCTTACACTCCTGTGGGTCTGTGTGCCAGGACATCTGATCCTGGAAACTCAGCTGTCCCTCCCCTCCACCTGGCTGGAGGCAGGGCCCCTCCAGTACTGGTTTTAGGATTCTCTACTTCCAGTAAAAACGGATTAGAATTTCTTTCCACAGGATCAGGAGTAAGATTAGCCCTTCCTCTCTGTCTTGGAATTGCCCACTGGACACTGGAGCAGCAACTTTCCTGGAAGAACCTCCATTTATGATTGTTCTTCTCTGATTCACATCCAGCAATTCTATCATATCGTAAGCCAGTGTTACAAAGTACAACAGAATCAACCTTAGCCCAGCCCCCAGAGGTGATAAACAGCACAAAGGGAACACACACACCAAGTAAGGCAGTGACGCAAACCTGAGAACAAGAGCAACAACTCTGAGAACAAACAAATCAACGCTGTGACCAGTGACTATTAAATTAATATCATGAATGTTTACAATAAATTCGTTTTACACGCTGTGGTCAGATCTGTTGTTATCTCCACCCTTTGTGCCCCACACTGGGTGCCAAAAAGGACTGTCATAGTTTAACTCCAGCCACCAACGAGGTCTCCTCTGTACCACACAACTGCTTGTTCACCACCCACCACCTCCTGCTGGGAGGGGGAGAATGGGAAAGAGAGCAGTTTAATAATTTAAATAAAATTGAGTAAATAATACTACAGCTGTAATGAAAAGCAAGACAACAAAAAGAGAGCAAGAAATAAAACCCAAGACAGACAAGTGATGCTCAGTACAGGTGTTCAGTCCCCACTGACTGATGCCCACCCCATCCCCAAGCAGCAATCAGTGGCTCCTGGACAACTTCTCCCAGTTACACACTGGGCACAGTGTTCCGTGGTATGGAATGTCCCTTTGGCTGCCTTGGGTCAGCTGTCCTGGCTGTGCTCCCTCCCAGCTCCTCGTACACCTGCTCGCTGGCAGAGCGTGGGAAACTGAGAAGTCCTTTCCTTAGACAAAGCACTGCTGAGCAACAACTAAACCAGCAGTTTGTTACCAACATCATTCTCACACTGAATTCAAAACACAGCACTGTACCAGTGACCAGGAAGAAAGGTAACCCCCAGCTGAAACCAGGACACAGATGAAAGCTAAAATCCAGCTATCACAATTTTAAAGCCCAGCAGGACTCCAGACATGTTTTACTTGCCTATTACTCCTATTACAAAAAATACGGATATTCAACCAGAACATCCGTGTTTATTTTAACATGGATTCATTGTATAATCAACAGGTTTCAAGATAACATAAAATGTCTCAAAAATTTGCTTTTAGAATCCAGGCCTCCTTCTCTCCAGAAATACAATCAGTTCCACATAAAAACAAATGTCAAGGTTTCAATTATCAATTTCTGTGATACTGTTTTTTTAATACAGCATCATTTGTGTGTGTTATTTTCCAAACGGAATTCTTATGCAGAAGGCTTTGTCCCAGTATCACAGAGGTACTAAATAATATTTACCTGTGAAGCATTCATGTGTAAAAATCTGTATCTGGAACACAACTGTACAAAGCAGTTAAAGTATCTGTTGAGAATATACCTCGTGTAAAAGCTGGAAGTTCAGACCTTAATCCATTGTCATTGTCCAGGAAACACATTCTACACAGCACTGTGCAGCTCTTTACAAACAGAACAGACAGAACACACACAAATACCTCCTGATCTGACTGAAAAGGATTATCAACAGAAATTAATATACCTGTGTTAGTGCACTGGTTGATATGTCATTTGAAATGGTACAACTTACTTTACTAAAAGAGTTGTATTCCCAGATCAACCGATGTTTTTCCCTACTATTGACTAAATTTTAAAGGTCCTGCCAAAAAACTCTCAAATATTTGGTTTTTTAATCAGCATGAAGCATTAAGCCAGAAGCAAGGATTTTCTGGTAAGGACCGAGTAAAACCATTACAACAAAGGATACAATACACACTGGAAGCTTTATAACTTTGGTATCAATATTTGCTGTATAAAAGGTTAAAAAACAACCTACAAGTACAAATTGCCTACATCTGGAATTACTAACAAGCATAGAAAATTATTTATAAATCACTGTGTTCACCAATTTTGCAGTGTTTTGGTTGCTATCAACCTTATTCAATAAGAGGAAACAGAGGCAATATCTACCAAGTGGCTTACCTGAAGTCACCATGAATCAGTGGCTGGAATAAGAACAGTTCTGCCCTCCTGCTTTCCAGTCCCTGTGTCCTAATCACTGATCCAGCTCCACTAATCACTGACTCAGGCTCCAGAGCACATATCTTCCCTGGGTATAAGCCACAGGAATTGGCAGCCACCGGAGAGTGCAGGAGAGACGGAGATCCCACAGTGGATAACCAAAGTTTCCTCAAGGCTCTCATTTTGGTCTGGTAACATTCCCACTGCTGGGCAGGATGACACGCACCTGATCCCACAGGCTGACCACTAGGCTCATGGAGAGTGTTACTCCCTGATCCTGCTCACAGAAGCTGAGTCTGAACATCAGCACCCTCCTTCTTTCCTGGGGACAATCAGCTGTGGCTGAACTACACGTTCTGTGACCCGGCCTCCTCTCTCCCATGGCAGCAAGAGAAAATCATTACAAGTAGAATCAGTTCAGACTCATTGTTACTGGAACATCCAGTACAGCACGATTTGAAAAGGTATATTGATAACAAATCACAGGCAGAGATGATCCTTTTAGCTCAAATAATAAATACTGATTTTAAATAATTACGTTTTCTTCTTTCTTAATCTAACACTAAGTGTTCTAGAGACAACAGTTTAGTTCCAGCTGTTACTATCATGTGCTCCTTAGCAGATCATATTTATAACACAAGATTTTATTTGTAATAAACCAAGGATTTATAAATATTTTGTACATTCTGTGTTAAGAGGATAAACCTTACTTTACTAATTCTTTGAGCACCTCTAAGTTCAATTAAATCACATTGCAGTAAAACATCTAAAGTGTGCAAACTGTGACAGTGACTTCTGCAAGAGATTTTATTCTGAAATAAACACAAAATCAATCTCAGTAGAAAAAAGAAGTGAGGGGAAAATGCAAACTGGTAACATTATTTGTCTCCCTTCGTTCCTCAGGGAGGACATTTTGTCAGCTTCCAGGGAACACGTTCTTGTCTCACTGGCTGCACAAGCTGTGCAGCCTCAGCGGGCACAGAACCTCACGCTGGGAGTTTCAGGGTTTTGGTACAGATTCAGTGTAGGAAAGTAGGTCTAGAAACACAGCCCTGTCATGCAGAGAGCAAAAAAATAAATGCCAGGCTGCAGGGGCTCATGTTTCTACATGCAGATCCAATTTCTAGATAAAACAAGCCACTAACCTTACCTGCAGTGAAGCCCATCACAACTGTCTGGATTTCTGCCACCCAAATGTGGTCTGCAGATTGTGGTCATCATCAGATGATGATACAGAAACAGCTGCTTAAACCCCTCTAATCTAATGCATGGACAGAAGCAACCAAGGAAAGAACAAAATGGAGAAAAATAAAAACAAACATTCAAAGTTAAGCTTAATTTTTATTTGGCAGTAAACAAAAATCACTGTGGCAATATTCTGCAAGATGATCACTGTAATTTTTTGCTAGGTGGCCATAGGATTACAAGGAAAATTGAAAAGTATTACAGTATGCTTTTAATATACAGTCCATCCAGAGCCAGTTGTTTTTTATAATGTTTTTCTGCACTGCAGGCAAGGCTGCACAATTACAGAGGCAGATCAGAGAAATCCCCATGATGCTGTATACTGATTCAGAAATGAGATTTTAGGTAAGTGTAAAGATCCACTTGCACAGATCTGACTACAAGTTTGGGATCACTGCAGCATCTGATGTGTTCCTTTCTGCAGGATAGACCATATTATTGAATTAAATTGGCACATCAAAGCTTCACATGACAACCAGAACATCACATTAACTGAAAGGTAAAAATATAGTCAAAGTTTGCAGCAATTAAAACATATTTTTCTTTCCCTTTTCCCGTTTCTCTGAGGGGCTTTTAAATAAGTTAAAATAAATCTATGGCAAATGATCAGAATATGCTTAGTCTGAGTATTTTCTTTGCATATCAAAAAAACCTAACAATTTTCCCTTCTGAAACCCTGCAGATACAAAAAAAAAAAAAAATACCTGTTATTCATGGTAATATTTCATGTTGTTACAAAGACTTTTGGTGTACTTCACACAGAACATGAACAATATGGGAACAGCATTGAGGATTTTGAAGTCAGTATTTTATTTTGGCACATTTTCCAAGTAATAAATAAGCTTATCTTTATGTTACTACTTCATATTTAAAGTTCAAATGATATTTTTAGAAACCAGTTATGTTCCAACTTCGGTAAAGTGTAGCAAATATATCTGAAAAATGCTTCATATCAGATGTTTTGAGGTATATTAAAATAATTCTTGAAATGCAAATTTTCATTACTCATTGAGGTAAAAGGGAAGAAAAGATGTAACAGAAATGACTGAGAGGGATTCAGGGCTAAGAAACAATCCTGAATTCCCTGTTTAAGGCAAAAACATAAACCACAATCAGGGATTTTGCCAGAAAATGAATTCATAAACAATTGTCTTCCTTTAGATTTCCTTCAAATCAGTCTTGTCATATCTCAGGGAAAAAGGCAGCTGTGAATGAAGAAGAACCCAACCTGTCTATCCCTTACAGTCCCTACTAACCTCTCCCATCCTTTGAGAGTTCCACATCTTTTTCCAGTCCAATGTCTTTCCACAGGCAAACACAACCACTGAACAACAATCACATAGGTCCACAGGTTATAAATACGATTACAGGACAGTGATACCCAAATTCCACTGAAGTCAGCATAATTTACAGTCAGACTATGCAGGAAGTGCAGAGGAAACCAATTCCCCAGTCTCTCTTACAAAACAGTTTGCTGAAAATATGAAGTAGTCTTCTCCTGGGAGAAAATCGGCAAAGTATAAAAAAATAAAATGCACCTTCCTTGAATTTTATTTTGACTTGGCTTCTTCCTCCACGAATTCCACCAGTGGAGCGTGTCTGTTGGCCTGGGCACCTTCTTGGAAATTAACCTTTTTTATCACTCCTGCCTTTGGAGCCCGTATGGTGTGCTGCACAAAACAGAGCAAGAGTGAGCCAGCAGAGAACCTGGCTTCTTGCCTTCTCTCTCTCTCCAGCAAATGCTATTATTACTCTTTGGTGCAATTAGAACTGAAAAACATTTAATTTCTTCCTCTGACACATATCTTTATTTTAAACCTTATTTTAAACCATTATACTAGTCCATTTTCAAGTTTTCTCATGAATATTTGGTAAGTATACTGGGGACAAAAACTGCTATATAATGTTATATTATGAAGTATGAACAGTTGAATGTTATTTTACTTCACTAATTGTTTTTGTTATCGTAATAAATACCAAGCAGAAATAATACAGTTTTAATCCAAAATGTTAATCATAGCAGATTTGTTCCCTGAAGAGGAATCTGCAGATTTGCTACAGATATTTTTGGGTTTTGGCCAGGAGGGGTCTTTACTGAGCAGATATTTGGCAAAATCCAGATGAAATACAAACACAGCCACTAATGACAGTGAAGGAACAGCATGTTTACACACCAACCCCCAAACTGGTCTGCTTGTTATTGGACCAGGTTAGTTTTCCACTGTAGCTTTGTTTCTTGGTATCTTTCTACCCAGGGCTAGTCTAGTATCAAAACATTTAATACCAGATATTAAATCCTCCCATCTAAGCCTCATGTCTGGCAAGATAAAATGGCCAAAGTGCTGGTCCACTGAATGCCATGTGGACAATTACAAAGAGTCTTGAGTGTACCCTTGGTAAAACTTTATGTAAATAATTAAAAGATTATACACAAAGAACCCTGCACATATTTACAAAGTCTCCACTGGCTAAATTTCTGCCTGAAGTAACTGCAGATATTCCACATGCTTGGATCAAATCAGTGAGCAGGAGATACCTGGACAGTCTTCTGCTAGAAAAGCCAAAGGAGAGGAGGGGAGAGAAGGCCTGACACAGCTCACTAAACGCACGTTAAAACAGCTGAAGAATTCCATGGATTATATAATCATCATTTGTTAGTAAAATAACAGCAAATATAATCCTCTAAAATCGTCAGACGCAACACTCACTTCATAGCAGATGAAGTGATAGTGACATCTGCAAGCTACCTCATACTTCAGTAATGCAACCAAAAATTATTAAATTTTGACCAGATTTTTATTATCTAAGTAATTAAAACCTTTATGTGTCACTTACCTCCATTTTCATAGCTATCATAACCATCAGAGGATCTCCAGCCTGAACCTTATCCCCTGCCTTCACAAACACCTAAATTCAAGAGAAAATTGGAAAAAAAACAAAAAAAATCATTCTTGTCAATGCCATTAACAATCATCAGCTGGATCTTGACTAGCACAATCCACAGAGTGATTGTGGGTTTGCAAAACAGCCTCATATTATTTTTATTATTGCTGAATTGGGTATGAGAGTTCTCTAGATGACACTCAAGGGAAGTCAGAGCTCCAGAGAGAGGTTCAGTGCCAGCTGCCAGGACGAGCAGGGAGACATTTACCTATCAAAGATGGAACACTAGAAGAGAGGATGTGTATTTGACCCTTTCTGGCTTAAGCACTTCTATTTTGAGAAAGTGCAGGACCTCCTCCTGGAGCCAGTCCCTAAAGCCTTTTAAAAAACAACACCCAGACAGAGGATGGCAGAGCCACCTTGTTATTCAACTCCAACTGATTCAGAGGGTTCACTCAGTGTAGGAGATCCATGTTCAATGTACTCGACTCTGTGAAAGGGTTCGTGCCTTCTCACTGCTACCAGAATCCTTTAACCACTAAACTCTCCTGGAAATCTCTTTTCTGTGGAAACTTTGTCACTGTAGAGAGAAATACACGAGACTTGCTGAGCTAAAGAAAAAGAAACAAACACAAAGCTTAACAAAAATGTGTTTCCGAGGATTTCTTTTTTTTTTTTTTTGCGAGTGCATCTCTTAATTCTCTCTTTTGTTAGATGAAATGAATCAAACAGCTTCTAACACTTCAGGGCACTTCAACTTAGAAAGTAATTAAGATGAAGAAAAAATTAGTTAAGCAGTAGCATTAGTTAAATATTCAGAATTTCCAGAGCTCTAGAGAAAGAAGACTGGAAGCCTTAAAAACTCTTGGGTGGCTGCTGAAAACTCAGAGTAAACAAGGCCTTTTCCAATTAGGAGAAGTCATCCAGCACTGACATTTCAGGCTCTGATTTTTTTCCTGGCAGTACAGAAGCCCCATTTCTGGAAGAGTGAGCTTGTATATCTACTGCAGAATTCCCTTCCCACCCATGTTATTATAATTACCTTTTCCACTGTGCCTGTCATGGGTGCTACAGCACCACTTTGCTCTCCCCCTGAGCTCACTGCAGACAAGTACTTGGGAACGGGGAGGCCGATCTGAGCACTGCCCTCCTGCAGGGAGAAAATCCAGGACAGGTGAGTGAACAGCGTAAAATCCCACCACCAGCACATGTTCTGAAACACAGGAACGAACAGATCTAGCCTTGC